TCAGGCAGTTGTCTATCCTTGAAACCTGTGGGTTGGCTCAAGAATATTTTTTCATCCAATTCACCATGTAGAAAATTAGTTTTAACATCCAATTGTTCTATCTCTAAGTCATATTATACAACAATTGAAAGTATGAGTCTAATAGTTTTAAATTTAACTACAGGTGAGAAGATTTTGGTGAAATCAATACCTGCCCTCTATGTGTAGCCCTTAGCCACTAACCTGGCTTTGAATCTTGGTGGATCAGATTGGTTGATTCCTTCTTTCAGTTTGTAGAGCCACCTACATTCCACCAACTTCTGATCTCTGGGCTTTAGGACAAGTGTCCAAGTGTTGTTCAGGTGTAGTGAATCCATTTCCTCTTTCATTGCAGCCACCCATTTTTTGTTGTCCTTTGATCTCATTGCCTCAACATAAGTATCAGGTTCAGATATGTGTATTTCTGAATCAGCCATGAGTGCTGTATAGATCAAGTCAGCATAGCTGTACCTTGTGGGAGGTCTGATTTCCCTCTTGACTCTGTCTCTGGCTAATTGATATTGGGCCAAATCATCAGGTTGATCCACTTCAGTATTCACAGGAGGGTCTTCTTCATCGTCCTGCCCCTAGGTTAGCTGTAGCTGGTCTTCAAGTGGACCTGTCTCATTTGTTCGAATATGTTGATCAGGATGAGTTGCAGGTTCCACCTTAAACTGAGTTATCCCAGTTTGTCCAGGGTTATCAGAATCTTCTTGTGAGCTATCTGCATTGTTAGTACTAGATTTGCAAGGGAAAACAGCTTCATTGAAAATCACATCTCGACTAACAATTACTCTAACCCCTGGGGCAGCCTTTTCCCAAAGCCTATAGCCCTTGGTTCCTTCTTGATACCCTAAAAAAATGCATTTAAGGGATCTCAGCTCTAGCTTTCCATCTCGGGTGTGTGCATATGCAGTACATCCAAACACTCTCAGGTGTTCAAGAGATGGTCTCCTCCCAAACCACCTCTCTTCAGGGCACTTAAAGTCTATGGAGCTTGAGGGGCTTCTATTTATTAGGTAGGTTATTGGACCTAGTGCTTCCCCCAAAAAAGTTTCTGGTAGACCAACAGTGAATAAAAGGCATCTAACCCTCTCTAGTAGGGTTCTATTCATTCTTTCAGCAACCCCATTTTGCTGAGAGGTTCCCCTAACTGTCCTATGCCTTAAAATTTCCTCTCCTACACAGTGAGAATCAAACTCCAAGTTGTAGAATTCTAATCCGTTGTATGTCCTATGCTTTTACCTTCCTATTAACTTGGTTTTCAACCAGGTTTTTCCAGCCTTTAAACTTGGTTAAGGCTTCATCCTTAGACTTAAGGAGGTACACCCATACCTTCCTGCTGTAGTCATCTATAATGGAGAGGAAATAACAATTCCCTCCATGTCTCCTAACCCTTTCAAGACCACAAAGATCTGCATGCAAATAATCCAAACATTTTTCAGCAAGATGAGTTCCCTTTTGGAAACTCATTCTGTGTTGTTTATCCAATACACAAGTTTCACAGAAACTCAACTCAAATATGGATTCCTTACCGAAGTAGCCTTGCTGGCTTAAAACTGTCATACCTTTCTGGCCTATGTGGCCAAGTCTCAAGTGCCATTTCTCTGCAGCAGAGAGGTTAGTAGATAATAAAGTAGAATTAATAGTAGATGCAAAATGTTGGCCACACAGAATGTACAGTCCATTTTGTTTGACTCCTTCAAGCAATATTTTATTATTTTTATAAACTACTATGGACCCTTTTCAGCCTTGTAACTACATCCAGCTTCATCCAACATTCCTAACGAAATCAGGTTTTGTTTAAGATCAGGTATGTACCTCATTCTGGTTAACATTATGGTTTTACCATTGTTCAACCTAATAGTTATGTTTCCTATACCTTGGACCTTACAAGAGTGATTGTTACCCATGAACACAGTTTCAAATTCTCCTTTCCTAAGGTTTTGGAACCATTTAATGTTTGGGCTCATATGAAAAGTGCATCCTGAATCTAGAACCCAATCCTTACTACTAGCTTGGTTTGAGACTGTGAGAGCTTTTGAAATTTCAATATCAGTACTAGTGCTGGCTAAATTACTCTCAGTACTGTGTTGTTTTTGTTTCTTTATCCAATCATAATAGTTCTTCTTAAGATAGCCAGGCTTATTACAGTGAAAACACTTTCTAGTTTCTCCCTTAGTCTTATTATTCTTCCCTTTTTTCTTAGTTTTAGAATTCATGTGTTGTTGGAAGTTTTCACTATTATCTCTTCCTAATTGTACTGAGTCTGTTCTACCTTTGACAAACAAGTTATTCCTATTTCTCTTTTGGATTCTCAACTCTAATTCTCTGGATTTCAGGCCAGCTATAATCAGGTCAACACTGGGAACTGTCCCATTGTATTGTAAAGCATTTTTCACCACTAAATACTCATCAGGCAAAGAATTCAACAATATCATTGCTAAACTAGAATCTCCTAACTCCTGATCAGTACCTTTCAACACTAATGTCATCTTTAAAAATTCATCAAGATTTTCTTCTATAGACTTAGTTACATCCATCTTATATGAAAACAGAGCACCTTTAAGAAAGGCTAAATTAGGTGCAGACTGTAATGAATATAGGGATTCGAGTTTACGCCAAAGTGTGAGCAGTGTTTCCATGCCGTCTACCTTCCGCATGACAGCATCATACATATTCATTATGATTAGATTATAGGTCTCCTCATCAACTTCAGATTTTTTCTTCAGTTTCTCCCCATACCACTTGGTGGTGTCTTTCTCCAAGGTAAGCCCTACCTTATTGTGGGAAAGGAGGGCCTTCATTTTCTTCTTCCATGTGTTGAAATCGATCTTCCCATCGTATTGGGAGATCTCCATATGAGTAGCACTCATAATTTTGTCACTGTAACAGTAACCCTAGGCAAAATTTCAAGATTTTACTCCCTGACTTGTGTTTGTGACCCAGACTCATGAATTCACTGAAGACTCAGCAAGATTCGAAGCCCTAATGATTTGAAAACCTCTAAATCGAAAAACCCCCAAATTTTGACAAACCCTAAATTTCCAATTTGTCGCGAATTAATCGATCTTAACCTAGATACGTCCTTAGGACTTTGGCTCTGATACCACTGTTGTAACCTGAGTCTAAACTAATCAATACACAAATCCACCAAAACACAAAACAAGATTCAAGAATCAAACACACACGCACAAGCCAAGATTTACCGTGGTTCACCTATCCAATAATGGATAGATTACATCCACGTTGAGTTCCGAAATATGGAGACTCACTGCACTAGGAATATCCAAACAGTTACACCAAGATTACACACTCAATCGACTAAATCAGAGCAATAACTCAATTCAGACCTAATCACTCTAATTCTACCAGTAACCTGCAAGATTTCAGAGAACTAACCTAGCCTCAAAGGAAACGCAACCCCTTTAACAACCCTGCCCAGATTATAACAAAGAATAACCCCAAATCGATTGCTCTTTTCACTCAATAGAACCCTAACAAGAACATACTAAAAAACCCGATAATCACATTCACTGTTTTTGCCCTCTTTTATATCGTTGACAATCAGCGATTGTGAGTCGCAGGATCTGTCTTGAATCAACGCTCAGGATTCATTCACTTAACTAAATGAGAACGATGTCGTTTGGCTTCATAAATCTTTCAGTTTGGTTGTGATTGTGGGTGATTGAGGAGGTGTTTATAGTGGTGATAACGGTGGGGAGATGTTTAGTGATAGACTTAGGATTGGGGAAGGGAAAGGTGGAATATTTTTCTTAACAGAGGTAAAACTCTAATTTTATTTAGATTTAAGATTTAAGTCCCCCTAAGTCAAATAGAAAAAGGAAATAAAATAAAACAATAATACTTCAAATACCAATTCTTTCATACAAAATTTCAGCATAATATGACACTTGATCTCAATGAAGGAAGATCAGAGTTGAAATGACAAAGAGCTGCATTTCTCTTTCATTTAGACTGTTAATGTTTTAATTTAAAAATAAAACAAAAATTATAATAGTATGGAAGGTTAGGAATAAAATATTTAGATAGAACTCATATGACATCTTTAATAAAAAAAATATATACATATTTTGTTATTGTGGGTAACAAATTATCTAATCATTCTGAAGATTATCGATTAGCTCCTTAATCTTTGGAGTGATCCAACAATCTAGATATATAGGTGGGCTAGAATTACCCTATATGCCTGCACTTTCCTAAACAATAATCTACCTTCCTTCTGTATAAATAAAATATTAAGCCTTTGAGGACCTCCCTATCTATGCATAATTTATTCTAACTCATATGCATGTATATAGTTTATTTATCATTTGTCAAAGAATGACTAAAGAGAGCCTTCATGTCATCTGCGAAGATAGGAATTATCAAAATGGATTTAGGATTCTGTGAAGCTTTCCATCCAAAAATATAAAAATATTATTTTGTTTATATAGAGGAAGGAAATGAAAGGGTTTTAGTTATCAGGTGAATGGTCAAATATTCTCTACTATATCAAACTTTTTTTCTTACTTTAATAAAATATTTGTGTTTCCAACTCCCAAGGGTTGCTTAAAACACCCTCACTCCGGCTGAAAAGCAAATGCTTTCTTCTTCTTTCATTTGCTTGCTCCTTTTATCTTTATACTTTAATTTAACATGGTGGGGTTCTACCATTAATCAATTATTCGCAGTAGAGTAAAGATGAAAAGAAAAAGAATAAAAGGAATGATAGTTAAAAAACATTCAAGTTTGAGTCTGTTTTACCTAAACCTGCTTTATCAATAGTTTTTTAATAGTATTATTAAATACATTTTAAAAGTCAACTCAAAAATATATAATAATCACGTAACATAATCGGCATTTGAGTTTAGAACTTGTAAAATAATAAAGAATCGAATCTTATATAGTTAGGCATATCATATGCTTTATATTTAGTTCTTAACTTTGTTTTTGGTATTGTTGCTTTTTTTTTTAAAGTATAGTTTTGGTTTGGGTATCCAAGCAACTTCATGTTCTGCAATCACTCCAAGTAACTTAATATTCTTTGTCTTTCTACTCCATCAAGAAACCTAAGCTTCGTTTATTGTTTCATTCTCATCATTCATACAGCCATATCTTCATCCTTTCCTCTCCAGAGTCATTAAACACCTTCTACTGAATCAATTGATTGATGTTCTTCTTCTTCAGTTTTCTTCTATCTCTCAATCTTTCATAAATCACTCAAAAACACTTCCATTCACAAACCTCTCTCACCCCTGAAACCAGATCGCTTCATTTTCACTCCTCTCCTGTTCCCTTATATCTTGTTTACTCAAAAAATCCTTTCCCATTTTCTTATTTTTCGTTTGGAAAAAAGAACAAAAAGATCTGTTATTTGAGTTTGCACCTGTTTTATTTTTTGTATTTTTCAAAACTGAGAAAGAAGTGAAGAAGGAAAAAAAAGTTTGAAACGGCTGAAGTTATTGGGGCTATCGCTGGTGTGGTGAGTGCTGTTCTCGACGTGGGCAAGTGCTTGACTGCTCCGATTGGGCGTCAATTTATGTACCTGTACAGCTACAAGAAGAACATTGACAATCTCCAAGGTGAAGTTAGGAAGCTGAAGAATACAAGAGACGAAGTGCAGGTTAGGGTTACTGCTGCTGAAAGAAACGTGGAAGGGATCAAGCAGAATGTTAAGGACTGGCAGATGGATGTTGAGAAGACCATTACTGAAGCAGAGAAGTTGATTGTAGAGGAAGAAAACCACCCTCGATGTTTCAAGGGATTGTGCCCCAATTGGATCACCCGCTACAAACATAGCAAGAAAGCATTCAAATTAAAGCAGGATGATATCAGTCAACTCCTGCTGCAAGAAGAGAAATTCGACAGAGTTTCCCATCCTAGTATTCCTCAGGAGATATGGCTTAGATCTAATGAAGATTATCTGGCTTTCGAATCAAGAACCTACACTGAGAAGAAAGTATGGGATTCATTAAATGATGAGAATATCTACATGATCGGGGTTTACGGCATGGGAGGTCTTGGCAAGACCACGCTTGTGCAAGAAGTCGGCAGGAAAGCCGAAAAGGATAAGCTCTTTGACGACATTGTTTTTGTGGAGGTAATATTTTCTCTTTGTTATTAATCATTTGGAGTGAAATTAGTTTGACTTTAGGCTTCTATATAAAGATGTATATTTCCCTTTATAACTAATTTAAGGAGAAATAAGCGTTCAATAAAATATTAGATGCGTTGGGTTCAATATTTTTATCTATATTTCCAATCCTATTCCCCAAATATTGTTTGGCATATTATTTGAGAAATACCCTTTAAGTTTGTCAATTTCATTAAATACTCTCAGAAAAAAGTTTAAAAATTAACAAAAACACCCCCACCCACCCATACTTGCCAGTTTCCTGTAACTACCATCGGTGACAGCCAAAATTTGTCACAACGGCCTACCCCACGATCGGAACTAACCGATAATTCACCGATCTGGCTTTTTTCGACCAGATCCACAGTAGATCTAGCTTAAAAAGGCTAGATCTGGCTGTCAACGACGGCCAAAGGAATGACCGTCATTGACGGTCAACGACGGCCAAAGAAATGACCGTCATTGACGGTTAACGACGGCCAAATCTTGGCCATTGGTGACGACCAAAGATGGACTTTTGCAGCTGTCAACGGCCACATCTGGCCATAGATCTAGCATTTTCCTGCCAGATCCATGGTGCATAGCCAAAAAAGGCCATATCGATGCCATACCTGCCAGATCCCACAGGTATGTGTTGTAACGCAATTTTTCGGCCAGATTCTGACGGAGGTGGCCGGAATCTGGCACTACGGGTGGTGGGGGTGTTTTTGTCATTTTATAAAATTTTTATATATTGGGGTGTTTAGTTAAATTAAAAAACCTATGGGGTTTTTTATAAATTTTTAAATTTTACCTCGTAGTACTCCCCTATTCAACTACCCAATATTATTCCCAAAATCCTATCCAAAATAATAAAACAAACGAATCCATTATTTCTTCATCTTTATTTAAAATATCCCTATTTAATTTATTTTATTTGTAATTATATATATATATATAAGATCAATTTATAAAGATTTGCTTCCTATTTAAGGACGTTTCTTATTACGTTGTTCTTTTAAAAGGTAAATACCATAAAAAAACAGTTATCAATTCAAGATTGGCCATATTTTTTTCTATTTTTTATTGTATTTTCTTTATTTTGTGGTTTTTGATTGGCTGTAATTTTATTTATTTTTCATTTTTGTCTTGCAGGTAACAGAAAATCCTGAGATTAAAAAAATTCAAACAACAATTGCAAACAAGTTAGGTCTTAAATTCCAAAATGAGAGGGAAGGTGGAAGTGAAAAAGCAAATAAGTTATATTCAAGAATGGAGAAGAAGAATATCCTTTTGATCGTAGATAATATTTGGAAAGAACTAGATTTGAAGTCGGTTGGAATTCCTTCGGAAGCTAATCATGGAAGAAATAAAATATTGATGACAACAAGAAACGTAGATGTGTTGGAGAAGATGGGTTCCACAAATAATTTTGGGATGGGTAGTTTAAATGAAGATGAAGCTTGGGGCCTATTCAAGAGAATGGCAGGTAAATGATTCTGGTCCTCAGTACATTTGGTCCAAAAATCAGAAAGCAATGGTTAGGTCTTTATCAATTAACAGTCGTTATATTAATTTAAACAGGGTAGGGTATTTCAGTATTTGTCCAGATTTTTATAATGTGATAATTAATAACTAACAATAATAAAAAAGCCAAAACCCCATCTTCAACCCACAGCCCACAGGCCGCTCTGTAACTGCCTTCACAACCCACACAGCAAAACAAGTCTTTTGTCGCCACTGTCAACCACCCCAATCCACTACCATCCCTTACCAGAACAACCTTCCGTACCCAAAACATCACTACTGCCTCTTCACTACCATCTCTTAACACCTTCCATACACACAAGGGGATTTGGTTGCGGCCTGCCAAGGGGTTGGGGCTGCTGGGTGGGGTGTGGGATCTTTTTAATTTTTGGGTTTTTTGTCATCCCCTAAGATTAAAGCTAATTACAAAAACCCCCCTGTGATGTTATAAACAACAGAAAAAACCCTGATGTTAGTTAGCCATTATCACTTTTTTTTAAGATGAAATTTAAAGTATATTCATTAAGATAAGATGCATGCTTTAAACAAATTCTTAACATTTGAATTTGTTTTATTAGATGCTGTTAGTTAATTATAGTGCTTAGTGTAACTCCCGTTATCTTTAGCCTAAATTCATAATAATGAGAATTGACTTGGCAGCTTCATTTTACATTTCCTCATTTCTCATCAGCTTATTTTTCTTTTCTAATAAAACTGTTTTAAAGCTCTTCATAAGACAAATGTATTTCTATGATTTTAGATATGAATAGTGGATAGAAAAATAACAATGAGGAATATTACATAGATATTTAAAAAACAGAAAAGTTGATGGTTTTATTTATAAAATAGTCCAATAATATAATAGCTAGAAATGCAATTAGTATAATCCTTGCTTCTTGTGTAGGTAGTGTAATTCAAACACGTGAATTGAATTCTTTGCCACAAGATGTATGCAAGGAATGTGGTGGTTTGCCAATTGTCATTTGTGCTATAGCAAAAGCATTAAGGAACAAGAGTCGTCCATCTGAGTGGAAAGTTGCCTTGTGCGAATTGAGAGCACCTTCACCGACAAAGTTCGGAGCATTATTGGAAAAAGAATACCAAAAGATTGCCTTAAGTTACAATTATTTAAGAGGTGACGAATTGAGGGAAACTTTTTTGATTTGTAGTCTGATGAAAAATAATACTTCCATTTCAGACTTGTTCAAACATGTTGTCGGTTTGGATATACTTGAAGGAGCTAACCTCTCAATAGAAGAAGCACGAGATAGGCTAGATAAATTGGTCCGAGAACTCAAGGACTCTTGTTTGTTACTTGAAAGTTTAGGAAGCAAACAATTCTCTATGCATGATGTCATCCGTGCTGTTGCCATAACGATTGCATATACAGACCACCACATTTTTACAACAAGAAATGACATTGAGAAGGAATGGAAGGATAAAGACAAGCTTAGAAAATGCACAAAAATTTGCTTACTTGGAGATAATGTCATACGTCAGCTTTGGCATGAAGAACTAGATTTTCCAAACCTTGAATTTTTCTATATGGATATGAAAAATTCTTTCGAAATCCATGAGAACTTATTCAAGAAAATGCCAAAGCTCAAAGTTCTAAATTTATTTGGAAATCGGCTATCATCATTGCCATTATCACTTGGTCGCCTGATAAATCTTCAAACATTGTGTTTAGATTATAGCAAAATTGAAGATTTTGATATCATTGGAAAGCTAAAGAAACTAAAAGTCCTTAGCTTGCAACGTTCTAGTATCAAGGAGTTGACTACAGAAATATGTCAATTGACTCAATTAAGATTGTTAGATTTAAGCAATTGTTGGAGCTTGCAAGTAATTGTGCCAAATGAGATGTCAAAATTATCCCAACTAGAAGAATTGTATATAAAGGGATGCCCTATTCAATGGAAGGTTGAAGTACTTGAAGAGTTGAAGGGCTTGTCTCAACTGACTAATTTGGAATTAGATATTAAAGATAACAAGATGTTGCCTAAAGGCTTCTTTTCCAAAGAGCTTAGAAGGTACAAAATATCAATAGGAGATTGGCGGCTCGGATATCTAAGAATTAACAAAGATGAGAGTTTGAGGGTGTTGGAATTTAAATTTAATTCTACAGTCTCCTTAGAAGAATTTCAAGGAATCAAGAATGTTGAAATCTTAGCCGTGGATGTTGAGAATAGTATTGATGACTTCAATATCATGCCACTTTTTAATGAAAAGGTTTGATTGACTATAACCTTTTATACTTTTTTATTATATATTCTTATTTTCATTTATACTTATTTTCATTTGTTAACACATAGTTGTGGCGTTGATTTTTTTTATTCCTCTATGTTTGTGTTTTTTTTCGTTTTTTTTAGTGATTTAAAATTTAAGTTAAATTTCATTACTAAGTACTTCTCTTTAGTCTCTATACTACATAATTTCTGTCAAACTTATTTCATAAATTCATGCTTGATTTCATGTGATAATCATTAGAGACAAAAGACACATTGTTAATATTAATGGCATGTCAACTATAAATCATAAGAATCCATGATTTTTTTTTTTTTTTAATTTGTTCATAGGAGTAAATATTGAAACAACAATTAACTCTTGACTGCAGATTATTTTCTCCAATTTGATGGCCTTGGTATTGATAGATATTTGTTCTGGAAATATTTGGGACAACCAACTACCAACATTCATGTCTTCCTCTTATAAAAATTTGACACAACTGACATTGGGTAGATGTAGAAATATAAAATATGCATTTCCATCTTCCATTGCCAAAAGCCTCATGCAACTCCAATACCTTGAGATAATGAATTGTATGGTTTCAGAGGAAATTGTTGCAAAAGGAGCAAATGCAGTTGTCAATTTTTTCTTTCCGAATGTAACCTTATTGAAGCTTCAAAATCTACCAGAACTTATAGCTTTCTACCCTGAAAAACATACTTCTGAATGGCCAAAGTTGAACGAGTTGGTGGTGATACGTTGTTACAAATTCACTTCAAAACATATGAGCTTCCAAGAAAATAGCAAGGAGGGTGAACTTAATATTTCAAATCCGAAATCTATCTTCTTGGATGATAAGGTAAAAATCTCTTATTTCATTGTTTATTGAAAAAGGAGAATTAACTTTCTTAATATATATTACATTTATTAAAAACTTTAATTATGGAATTCTTAACATCTCTATTTTTCCTTGGAATGAAAATTTAGAAAAATTAATGGTTATTTGACTTGAACAATTTTACTTTAGGATCTTATCATTTAAATTTACCTAAGTACTAGATTTAAAAAAAAAAAATTGATCATCGAATTTAATTCTAGAAATTAACAATAAAATTTTATTTTTACTAGAAATCTATTTACATTTTCTTGAATAGAAAAAAAAAGAAATTAAAAAAAAAAATTTAAACAGTTTTAAATAAAATAAATAATTATGTGATTTTTAACACCTCTATTTTTCCTTGGAATGAAAATTTAGAAAAAAAAAAAAAAAAGAGAGAAAGAATTAATGGTCAGTTGGATTTGGTTAGTTTTGTTATGGGAATTTAGTCAATTAAACTAATTAAAATAGTAGGTTTAAAATATTAGATCATCCAATATAATTTTATAAATTATCAATATAAATTTATTTTTAAAAAAAATTTATATAACATAACATATTATCTTATTATTTGTGATTTTTAACACCTCTCTTTTTCCTTGGAATGAAAATATTAAAAAAAAAAAAAAAAAAAGAGAGAAAGAATTAATGGTCAGTTGGATTTGGTTAGTTTTGTTATGGGAATTTAGTCAATTAAACTAATTAAAATAGTAGGTTTAAAATATTAGATCATCCAATATAATTTTATAAATTATCAATATAAATTTATTTTTACCATAAATTTATATAACATAACATATTATCTTATTATTTGAAAACATTGTCAAGAATAGCAATTTCATATATCAACACATGAATCAAGAGTTAATTACTCAATCAACCTCCAATGGTTTACTCAAGTGAAAGGCATATGTTTTGTTTTCTTTCTAAATTATCTTTTATCTTCCTTTTATGTAAAGCTCGAACTCATGTATATATTTGTCTAAAACTGATCAATGAAAAACAAAACTTTCACTTATCTTTTTGTGAGATTTTGATTTTGTATATATAAACCCTATGACTTCTGAGCCAACAATCAACTTTTGTTTTAAGACTATAAAAATCTAGCTAATTTGATTTTGTTTTGATGGATATGCAGATCAACTCTGATTTGAAGATAATGGAATTAAAGGATGAGAACAGAAAGATTGAATGGAAGAGTAAATCTAAAGCTCTTAATATCAGTTATGACAAGTCAGAAAATATTCCACTTGGACTCCTTCAAAGATTTGAAAATTTGAAAGAGCTCGAACTATCTTCCTGTCGTCAATACAAAGAACTTAACTGCCTACTTGATCTTCCAAATTTTGAAGTTTTACATATAAATTTCTGTCATAGATTAATGAGTCTAGTGTCATCCTCAACTTCTTTCCAAAATCTTAATTTTGAAGTTCTAGATGTAAGTTACTGTCATAGATTGATGAGTCTAGTGTCATCCTCAGCTTCTTTCCAAAATCTTAAAGTTATGAAAGTTAACAATTGCAATGGGTTGACGAAGTTAATAACACTGTCAACAGCTAAAAGTTTGGTGCAGTTAAGAGAAATGAGAATATGTAATTGTGCACTCTTAGAGGAGGTTATTGCAAAAGAGGAAGGAGCAAATGCAGTTGTCAATTTTATCTTTCCAAATGTAACCTTATTGGAGCTTCGAAATCTACCAGAACTTATAGTTTTCTACCCTGAAAGACATATTTCTGAATGGCCAAAGTTGAACAAGTTAGAGGTGAAAGATTGTTACAAATTCACTTCAAAACATATGAGCTTCCAAGAAAATAATGAGGAGGGTGAACTTAATATTTCAGATCCAAAATCTAGTTTTTTGGATGATAAGGTACGAATCTTTTATTTTATTATTTATTGAAAAGGAGAACTAACTTTCTTCATAAATATCACATCTATTCAAAACTTCAATTATGGCCGGAATTCTTAAAATCTCTATTTTCCTTAGAACAAATATTAAGAAAAAATAATGGTTATTTGATTTGAACAATTTTACTTTAGGATCTTATCAATTAAATTCATTTAAGTGCTAGATTTTTTTTTTTTTTTTTTTTTTAAAGATCATCTAATATAATCCTGGAAATCAACAATAAAATTTTATTTTTACTAGGAATCTATCTATCATTTTCTTGAATAAAGAAAAATTAGAAATTTTTAGAAGAAAATCTAGACAGTTCTTTTTTTTTTTTTTTTTTAAAGAAAAAAAAAACTTAATTATGTGATTTTTAAAACCTCTCATTTTGCTTGAATAAAAATTTAGAAAAAAAAAAAAAAAATTAATGGTCAATCGGATTTGAAGAATTTTGTTATGGGAATTTACTCATTTAAACTAATTAAAGTAGTAGGTTTAAAAAATTAGATCATTCAATATAATTCTATCAATCATCAATATAAATTTATTTTAACCAAAAATCTATCTAATAGAATATATCATCTTATTATTGAAAATATTGTCAAGAATAACAATTTCTAATATCAGTACATGAATTATGGGTTAATTACTCAATCAACCCTCCAATGATTTGCTCAAGTCATGGCATATGTTTTGTTTTCTTTCTAAATTACCTCTTATATATCTTATCTTCCTTTTATGTAAAGCTTGCACTTATGTAGATATTTGTCCAAAACTAATCAATGAAAAACAGAGCTTTCACTTATCTTCGTTTGAGATTTTGATTTTGTATATATTTTCATGTATATATCAACCTATGACTTCTGAGCCAACAACTAACTTTTGTTTTGAGATTATAAAAATCTAGCTAATTTGAATTTGTTTTGATGGATATGCAGATCAACTCTGATTTGGAGAAAATGGAATTAGTGGATGGTAACAGACGGATTAGATGGCACAGTCATTCTAAAGTTCTTGAGATCAAGTATGATGTGTCAGCAAATATTCCTTTTGAACTCCTTCAAAGATTTGAAAATCTAAAAGAGCTCCAACTTTTTCGTTGTGATCAATACAAAGAGTTGTTTCTTCCAAATCTTCCAAATCTTGAAGTTCTAAATGTAGGATACTGTGATAGATTGATGAGTCTAGTGTCATTCTCAGCTTCTTTCCACAATCTTAAAAAGCTGAGGGTTTTCAATTGCAAAGGGTTAATGAAGTTAATAACACCTTCAACAACTAGAAGCTTGATGCAGTTGAGAGAAATTGACATAACGGATTGTATGGTTTTAGAGGAGATTGTTATGAAAGAAGAAGGAATAGAAGCAGCTATCAAATTTGTCTTCCCGCAAGTAACCTTATTGAAGCTTCAATCTCTACCAAAACTTACAGCTTTCTACCTTGAAACACATACTTCTGAATGGCCAAAGTTGAAAGAGTTGGTGGTGAGAAATTGTGACAAATTCACTTCAAAACTTATGAGCGTCCAAGAAAATAGTAAGGAGGGTGAACTTAATATTTCAAATCCAAAGTCCATCTTCTTGGACGATAAGGTATAAATCTCTTATTTCATTGTTTATTGAAAAAGAAAATTAACTTTCTTAATATATATTACATTTATTCAAAACTTTAATTATGGAATTCTTAACATCTTTATTTTTCCTTGGAACGAAAATTTAGAAAAATTAATGGTTAATTGATTTGAACAATTTTACTTTAGGATCTTATCAATTAAATTCATTTAAGTACTAGATTTAAAATCAAAAAATTAGGTCATCTAATATAATTCTAGAAATCAACAATAAAGTTTAATTTTTACTAGAAATCTATCAATAATTTTCTTGAATAAAAAAAAAAAAAAAATAAATAATTTTAATTTAAGATTGAATGTGTTAAATAATGTGGGGTAGTCATTTACTTCATCATGTATAATTAAAAAACCTTAATTATGTGATTTTTAATACCTCTCATTTTGCTTGAATAAAAATTTAGAAAAAAAAAAAAAAGAATTAATGGTCAATTGGATTTGAACAGTTTTGTTATGGGAATTTAGTTAATTAAACTAATTAAAATAGTAGGTTTAAAAAATTAGATCATCCTATATAATTCTATAAATCATCAATATAAATTTAGTTTTACCAGAAATCTATGTAACATAATATATTATCATATTATTGAAAACATTGTCAAGAATAATAATTTCAGATATCAGCACATGAATCATGGGTTAATTACTCAATAAATCCTCCAATGATTTGCTCAAGTCACAACATATGTTTTGTTTTCTTTCCAAATTACCTTGTATTTTCCTTTTACGTAAAGCTTGCACTCATGTATATATTTGTCTAAAATTGATTTTTGAAAAACAGAGAGCTTTCACTTATCTTCTTGTGAGATTTTGATTTTGTATATATTTTCATGTATACATCAAGCCTAGGACTTTTGAGCCAACAATTAACTTTTGTTTTAAGAATATAGAAACTAGCTAATTTGACTTTTTTTTTTTTTTTTTTTTTTTTTTTGTTATGAATTTGCAGATGATTTCTGATTTGGAGAAAATGGAATTAAAGAATGAGAACAGAGAGATTGAATGGAAGAGTAAATCTAAATCTCTTAATATTAGTGGTGATAAGTCAGCAAATATTCCACTTGGACTCCTTCAAAGATTTGAAAATTTGAAAGAGCTCAAACTACGTGCCTGTCATCAATACAAAGAACTTAAGTGCCTACTTGATCTTCCAAATCTTGAAGTTCTAAATGTAAGTTACTGTGATAGATTGATGAGTCTAGTGCCATCCTCAGCTTCTTTCCAAAATCTTAAAGTTATGACAGTTAACTATTGCAATGGGTTGATAAAGTTAATAACACTCTCAACAGCTAGAAGCTTGGTGCAATTAAGAGAAATGAGGATATATGATTGTAAACTCTTAGAGGAGGTTGTTGCAAAAGAAGAAGGAGCAAATGAAGTTGTCAATTTTATCTTTCCGAATGTAACCTTATTGGAGCTTCGAGATCTACCAGAACTTACAGCTTTCTACCCTGAAAGACATACTTCTGAATGGCCAAAGTTGAATAAGTTGGTGGTGATACGTTGTTACAAATTCACTTCAAAACATATGAGCTTCCAAGAAAATAGTGAGGAGGGTGACCTTAATATTTCAGATCCAAAATCTAGCTTTTTGGATGATAAGGTACAAATCTCTTATTTCATTGTTTATTGAAAAAGAGAATTAACTTTCTTCATATTTATCACATTTATTCAAAACTTTAATTATGGAATTCTTAACCTCTCTATTTTTCAAGAAAATTTAGAAAAATTAATGGTCATTTAATTTGAACAGTTTTACTTTAGGATCTTGTCATTTAAACTCATTTACATACTATATATATTTTTTAAATACATCATCTAATATAATTCTAGAAATCAACAATATGATTTTATTTTTACTAAAAATATGTCTATCTATCAAGTGATTCATTTTATTATTGAAAAAATTATTTACAAAAATTTTGGCAACTTGAAAGCCTACGGGATCATAAATTCGAAACTATTTTAACATGATTTGATGTGAACAGTTTTGTTATGGGAAATTAGTCAATGAAACTAATTAAAGTAGTGGGTTTAAAAAATTAGATCATCCAATATAATTTTATAAATCATCAATATAAATTTATTTTTACCAGAAATTTATCTAACAGAATATATTATCTTATTATTGAAAACTTTGTCAAGAATAACAATTTCATATATCAGCACATGAATAATGGGTTAATTACTTAATCAACCTCCAATGATTTGCTCAAGTCAAAGGCATATGTTTTGTTTTCTTTCTAAATTACCTTCTATCTTCCTTTTACGTAAAGCTTGCGCTCATGTATATATGTATTTGTCTAAAATTGATCAATGAAAAATAGAGCTTTCACGTATTGTGAGATTTTATATTGTATATATTATCATGTATATATCAACCCTATGACTTCTAAGCCAACAATTAACTTTTGTTTTAAGAATATAAAAATCTAACTAATTTGATTTTGTTTTGATGGATATGCAGATCAACTCTGATTTGGAGGAAATAACATTAACGAATAAGAACAAAAGAGTGATTAATTGGAAGAGTCAATCCAAAACTCTTGAGATCTGGAGTGATGTGTTAGCAAATATTCCATTTAAACTCCTTCAAAGATTTGAAAATTTGAAAGAGCTTAAGCTATTTTTTTGTGACCAATACAAAGAGCTATTCTTTCCAAATCTTCCAAATCTTGAAACTCTATATTTACATAGATGTAATAGATTGATGAGTCCAGTGCCGTCCTCAGCTTCTTTTCAAACACTTAAAGTTCTGAAAGTTGACAATTGCAATGGGTTGATGAAGTTAATAACACCTTCAACAGTTAGAAGCTTGGTGCAGTTGAAAGAAATGAGCGTAGAGGAATGTGAAACGCTAATAGAAATTGTAGAAAATGAGGGAGATACAACAAGGTGTACTGAAATTATTTTTAACAATTTGAAGAAGTTGTTTTTTAGAAAGTTAGAAAGTCTCACATGCTTTTGCTCTTGGAATTACTCTTTCAATTTCCCATCTTTGGAAGAGTTAACTATAGTGGAATGCCCCAATATGAAGACTTTCTCTCAAGAAATCTTAGACACGCCAAAGTTGACCAAAGCCATTTGTAGGTGGAAAAATGGACGGAATTGGGAGAAAAAGAATATAGACATTGAGAGTGGCCTTAATACAAACATACAACAAGCATACAAAAAACAAAAACAGGTATGTATTCAATTAATTACTTTGAATATTATTATTTTTTAAAGTAAGTTTTTGTATATGTTGAGCATTATTGTTGAACTAGTGGCCAGCACACACTTAGACACCTCACTTCACTACTAGGATACAATAAACTCCGTCTATATTTTTCTAAGAAATTTCTAAAACTGCACTGTTTTATAAATTATTTCTAACAACCATCAATTTATGATATTTTATTTTTCTCCTTAGTTCCTATTAAATATATATAAAAAAAATTATATGTTTTTAAGGGAAATATTAATTTTAATTTGATTGACATTATTTTTTTTACAGGTTGACTCCAATTTGAAGGAATTGAAATTAACATTAAGTGGAAGGGATGTCAAGTCAATTTGGCAAGGAGAGTTTCAAGAGAACTTTGGCAAAGTAAAAACTCTTCAATTGATTAAGGATGAATATGCAAACATTCCACTTCAAATTCTTAACAAATTTAATAGTCTTGAAAAACTCATATTGAAAGTGAGTTCATATGAAGAGATATTCTCATTTGAAGAGGATAAGGAATACACTGGAGCACACACAAAATTAAAAATTTTAGAATTTTGGGGACTTTTTAATTTAAAGTGCATTTCTAAACAAGGCTCCCGATTTAACTCAATTTTTCAAAGTCTTCATTCTTTAGAGGTAAACCATTGTCACAATTTGATGACTCTGCTGCCATCATCAACATCTTTTGAAAATCTTACAACTTTGATGGTAAGCTATTGCAATGGAATGCAAAACTTAATGTCATCCTCAACAGCCAAAAGTTTGGTGCGACTAGAAGACTTGTCAATAAAAGGATGTGAAATGATGATCGAAGTATTAGCAAAAGAAGGAGATACAGAGAAAGGTGAAATTGTTTTTGAGAAATTGAAGAAGTTATACTTGTATAGTTTAGAAAGTCTCACTTGTTTCTATTATGGGAATAAGTATGATAACTTAAAATTCCCATGTTTGGAAAGCTTAAAAGTGACAGAATGCTCCAAAATGAAGACTTTCTCTAGAGGAGGCTTAAGCATGCCAAGGTTAAAGTACCTGAACTCCAGATATTGTTTGGAGAGTGACATTGATAGGACAATACAACAATTACAAAATGGTAAGTATTCATTTACTTAACAATATAATTTTTCTGTAGATTTCTACATTCTCCTTCATTGAATTAATACTAGTCAATCCTCAATGGTCTTTATTATTGGTTTCGTCTTTAATTAAAATACTCTAAGTGAATCAATTATAGACTATCAAGTATATATAGAGAAACTAAAATGTTACAATTTTTGTTTCCTTAAAGTTAATTTATACGTGTTTTTGAAAATTCCTCATTTTCCTGTTTAATTAATAAATTATGATGAATTTAGAGTTTGAAATAGCATTCTCGAGAGTTTTTGCTTTTGCTATTAATATGTTATTCTTTATGATTACAGATTGTTCAGAGTTATGGAAAAGATTCCCAGGTTCTAGAGTGTAATGTTCATCAACACACAACAAACTCATGTGGTAAGTGTGTGGTATTAGATGAGTTGACATTTCTTTTTAAACATAATTCAGAAAATATATGTAAGTTACCTTCGGAACATTTGATTATATAGATTTCGGGGTATATATAATTTAACAAATTATAAGGTTAAATACGATATTAATTAAACATTTTAGGGACTACTTAATATTCTGCCCGGACAAAATTAAAATGATTTAAGCATATGAGGGACTTTAGTGATATCATCCAATCATATTAATTTCTCGAAGAAAATGTAGCGATGGTGATATCAGGTGCTCAGCACAGAGTTAGGTGTCTCTTTCCTTGGTGGCTAACAGTGATATCTACAGTTAATTTCAAACGAGTCGTATCGATCACGCGCGTCCTCTCCCTTCCGTTCTCCATAACCCTTTCAAAATCGTTCGACGGTCCAGCCAGTTCAACCGCCGACAATTTAGGTCATTTTCATCATTTCAAATACTTATCGTTAAAACTAATAGAACATATGTATTAATATTTGTTACCTTTTTAATTTCACAGATGAGATTGCCAAGTTGTTCCTAGATCTGTTCGCAACGATCGGCGAAAATAGTGTCAAATGATGCCGATTACGCTTCAAGAATATTAGAAGTTGAAAATTGGCGTAGTATTTGTGTGAGCTTTGAGCGACAGGTGAACACAATATGATCATATATGAAGCTGTAGTTTTAATTTGTAAAACGTGATTTGCTTGAAATGTTGTTTGAAAATGTAATTTTTGTGTTTCGTTGCTAGATTACTGGCAGGATCCTGCAAAAGGTAGTATCCGATTTAGGAGAGATTCAGCAAGGATTCATCAAGTGCAAATACATTGAATGGCTCCTGAGAATATTTGTGCAAAAAGATATCTGGTACGGTTTAAATTGTATTTTAACTTGTGCAAGTATAATTTGACAGTGTTTGATATGGAAATAAACTCTTTATATTTTTAGTAATTTGCTTTTGAATACATTATAAGTTCTAACAGTTTGCTATGAAAATAATTATACCAATAACTTGAAAATGTAGCTGGTGCTTTTATTGAAATTGATAACCGTTGAATTTTAAGCATGTGTGCGTTAGGTTTGGCTAAGTATAAGTTATGCTTAACTTGCATGTTAAGGTTACATGATTGAAACTCGTGAGACTATTCACTTAATGATTGGATGATTTGGATGGACTTTGTTTTAAGACTATTTGTATATATAAGACTCGTTGATCTAATGATGGATACCGTAACTTATAAAAGTCTTGTTTTTGTTGGTGGGTTTTTGGGTTTAGTTATTTATGACCCAAGCAGAGCGGAGCCATTCGGGCATGGACTCAATATATGTTTAAATCTTGTCTTTCTCTTGTAGTTTTGTTCCTTATTAAAGCCTTTTCTTTTTGGTTATTTTTCATTTTGGTCAACGCCTTTCGGGTTTAAAAGGCTAGAAATGGAAATGCATGTTTGATGGTGATCTTATATTCGTATACAACATACAACTGTTTAAAGTTTTTTTGTTGGTTTGGGTTCAGCATGGTTTGGTGCTTTGATGTGTTGTGGAAACCCGTTAACTTGTTAGGGTATGTAACATTAAGGTTTAAGGATCTCATTAACTATTGGAATTGACTACTACATGAACTTATGACTGGGTGAGGCTGAACATGACTAGCAAAGCAGAGTTTTTGGTTATTAAGAAATTGCAAGTTTGTGAATTGACTACTGAGTGTAGTGTGGGTGAAGATGTTAAAGGGAGCAATGCATGATTATAAATTTTGGATTATTGCCAACAAGTAATTTTGTGTTGCTGGTTTCTTCATTTTGGTCATACATCCCAACAGTGGCTATAAGGAGCTTTGGGTAAAAAATCGTTTGAAAATTAATGGAGTAAAATAGATAAAATTATCAAGGGTAGAATTGAAAAAATCATAACTTCAGGGTACACATGATTGTGAGAATGTTAAAACGGACCAGTGGCGTGCTTGAATATGCTGCAAGTGTGTGATTCTTAAGAAATATGTAAATCAATTATATGCTTATCTCTTAGTCATCTTAGTATAAGCATTTGGGGTTCTGGTTGCTACTTTTTTATGTTTCTTGCGTTCCATCAGTCTCTAATTGAAGTTTGTAGTTGAAGAGATTTTTGAACTTTATCACCTTGGTCCTACATCGATTATTTTGAACAAACCTTATTTAGTCAATGCTCAATTTTACTGTATATTCTCATAGGTGTTTGAAGTTCAAACTGCATTCAGAATGATTTGCATTGCATGATATTTAAAGGCCTGGTGTTCTCACAACATTAATGGGTGTTAGTGGAGCTCGAAAATCCACTCTTCTAGAGGTTCTGGCAAGAAAAAAAAACTGCTGGCTATATCAACGGGGAAATAAAAATTAGTGGGTATCCTAAGCGTCAAGAAACATTTGCAAGAGTTTCAGGTTATTGTGAGCAAACCAACGTACATTCTCCTCAACTCACTGTAGAAGAATCTTTGATTTTTTCTGCTTGGCTACATTTGTCTCCTGAGATTAACACAAAAACTAAGACAGTAAGAAGACTCTATTAATGTTTTCTGTGTTAATTGGTCTGAGGTAACATATAATTAAGTTGCTGACATGTTTTAACTGGAATTTGTGAATCAAGTCCTTGAGATCATAGAGCTTGATAATATTAAGGATGCCTTGATTGGCATACCAGGAGTTAGTGGTCTATCTGTTGAGCAACGTAAGCAGCTCACCATAGTTGTCGAACTTGTTGCCAATCCATCTATAATCTTTATGGATGAACGTACAAGTGGTTTAGCTACGCGAACGGGAACAATTGTCATGCAAGCTGTCTAAAATGTGGTTGAGACAGGAAGGACAATTGTTTGCGCTACTCACCAACCAAGCATTGACATATTTGAAGCATTTGATGAGGTAAAACAAATTTCTAAGTTACTTTAGAAATGTAAAATTAGAATTTGACTGTGAAATTATAAGTGTAGTATTCATTTGGGAAGAGTAGTATTCATAATATGCTTTTCCACCTACCCACTTCTGGTGGCTAGTCTTTCATAAATCTTTGACTAAACAACTTTAACTGACAGGCAATCCCTTGGGTGCCGAAGATTAGAGATAACTATAATCCGGCGACATGGATATTAGAGCTCTCATCTCCATCTTCAGAAGTCTAACTTGGTGTAGAATTTTCCCAAATATACACGGATTCTGCTTTACATTAGTAAGTTCAATACAGAGCTTCTGTTTTGATGAATAAATTTTAGAATGTGGTTATGTGCTAAGTTTAATACCGCATCACTTCCTCAAATTTAATAATAAGTGAAGGCTGTTCTGTGATTTTATTTTCATGCTCACTCAATGTCACATGAATACTTGAACTATTGGTTGAGTCTATCTTTCTTGTAGAGAGTGGGGAAAGGATCCTGCATATATAAAAATCGGCTATTGATTTAGTTGTTTGAATATTAATTTCACTGTTTGTAGGCACACGAAAGCTCTTGTGAGGGGGTTGAGTACTCCACCTCCTGGTTCAAATGATTTGCATTTTCCAACCCGCTTCACACAAAGTGGTTGAGTGCAATACCCTTATTGTCTATGGAAACAGAACTTGTCTTATTGGAGAAGTCCTTCATACAACTTATTCCCGGCAGTTATAGCATCTTTGCTTTTTGGTGTACTGATTTGGGACCACGGAAAGGGTATGTAAGTTTGTTTGTTAATTATGATAAACATTTATCACCAATTTTATTATATATAAATTTGTGATTGAGGCAGAGCACCGAGCAACTGGTTTGATGAATTGGCCTAAAAATTTGTCTTGAATTAAATTAATGATCACAAGAAGTTTTCTGGTTCCATTTTTCTGTCTTTATATGTGCTGACTATGCCTATTAAAACATAATTCAGTATTGCCCTCGCCTATAGTTTGCAAGTATCTTACTTTGATTTCTTCATTTTCATTTTAATCTGGCAAAGATACCCAGCAATATATATGGTGTATTTTATGTTTCGGTGATATTCATGGGCATCAATTACTGCTCAACCGCTATACCCCATATTGCAACAGAGCGCAATGTTATGTACCGAGAAAAAATTTGCAGGAATGTACTCTCCCTGGGCTTTTTCATTTGCACAGGTACAATAATCTTGAAACTTCTTAAAAGTTGAGCTCAACATTATGAACTCTGCTTAGTTTATTTTCCATATGCAAAAACTCTAGTAAAATTGATCACATTACTTTGATTATATTATCTTATTATGTATACTTGATTTTTCAGGTGACTGTTAAGCTTCCTTATTTATGTCTTCAAGCAATTATATACGTGATCATCACCTATCCGATGATTGGATTTTATTGGTCGGCGTATAAGGTCTTCTGGGTGTTCTGTTTATCTTGCAATGCTACTTGTGGCATTGAAGCCGACTCGCATGGTTGCTTCTATTCTATCCTCTTTTTTCTACACCTTATTCAATCTGTTTCCTGGATTCCTTATTCCTGAACCGGTAAGCTACTAAAATCTACCAAGAAAAGTACATGAACCATATCCATTCTAAATTTATACATTAAAATGTTTATTCTCTTTGCAGCAAATTCCAAAATGGTGGGTTTGGTTGTATTATCTGATTCCTACTTCTTGGACGCTAAACAGTTTGATCACATGACAATATTGAGATATCAACAAGAAAATTAGCGTTTATGGAGAATTAAAAAGCATATCAACCTTTCTTAAAAGATTACTTCGGTTTTCACCATGATCGCTTGCCTATTACAGGCATTGTTCTTCTCATCTTTCCTCTTGTTCTTGCCTCTCTTTTCGCGATTTGTATAGGATGGTTGAACTTCGAGAACAGGTCAGACATTGGAGGAGATGTTAACGTTTGTACAGAGCCTTATAAGCAATACATATTGAATTTATATTTTTTCAGATTGTTGTAAATTATTGAAATGTGAATCTTGTGATGGGTTTTCAGATTGTTGTAAATTATTGAAATGTGAATCTTGTGATGGGTCTATATATATATATATATGTGTGTGTGTGTGTGTGTGTGTGTGTGTGTTTATAAGATGAAATTTTGAACTAGAACACCACAAACAAGGGGGTTGACATTTATTGAAAGCTGGCACTATCAATTCATCGATTAACGAATTTCAAATGATTTGGTTTAATCCCACTTAATGATTTTGTTGCATGGTTGAAGGTCCACTTCATGGTTTAATCCATTCCCAGATCATTGACTTGCTACTTCTCTCACTGTTGGTCTTTTCTTCCCATTTAACTTCAAACATCTTTTTGTGAGAATGAAAACTCTTATAATATCACCCTCTTCCCAAGCATCAAAGATTTCAAATACACGATTCTCTTTCATTGCACATCAAAAAGTATTATTTCAATAATTTCATGAGTGCTAATTAATTCGGCTATGTAAAAATAGTTTCCATTAAAACCTTCTATATATCTTAGGAGGAATATTTTATTAAATGATTTGCATCAATAGTTTAACGAGTTTCACAAACTTAACTTTACAGATCAAAGGCTTATTTGATTTAACTTCAACAAAAAACCCATAATTTTTCATTAAAGGCTTAGCTTCCATTTTGACAAGGGGGGATATGGGGATATGAAAAACTGAAAAAACCTGATAAAGCAAAAAGAGCAACATAAACAACAATAATCATGCTTGGAATCAGGCCTGCAGTTTTAGAGAAAGAACTTCTCCTTTGAGAGCTTCTACTTTATAGACCCAAATGATACTCTAAGGTTAATGTACTATGAAATACAAATTATGAATAACATTCGGCTCGCTCATAGAGGTTATTAAATAACGACTTAGTCTACGAAAATGTTCCCACTCGAATTAAACAAACAAAAGCTACTTCTGTATTTAGCAATTCCGAGAAAATGACAACAGAAAATTTTGANTAAAAGCGTTGAAAAGTTAAGTTGTTGCAACCTAGGACATTAATATGAAATTGTTTGCTGTTCAAGGATCTTATATTCTGGACAAAACCATGGGTGATGAAGTCGAACCTTATATTCTGTTACATAATGAAAACAAATGTTGTTAGTGTCGTCATATATATCATACTAGCTTTTTAACTACTTAATTAGTTATGCATGCTAGATATGATTGAGTTATAAACTTACAATGGGAAGTTGTTTGCAAAAGTTTTCGCCACAAGTACCCCAAGCAGAGGCTCCTTGGCCATCGAAAGTTCCACCACCTGACAATGTGAAGTGTTGGATACGTTGGAAAGTAATCCAACTTCCATCCTTCGTCACTTTGCTATCAGTTAAGGCCTTAAGGGTGCCTTGAACTGCAACCTCAATAGCAGCTTTGCATGGACCTTCAAAAGTCACAGGACTTAACAAGAATATCCCCTTTGGAATAAACACTTTGCTTGGAATAGTTGACGCACATGCTTTGTTCCACGATCTGGTTAAAGCCTAAGACAATTGCAAACACCATTTAAATAAGATGATTAATTATTATCCATACATATTTTGGATTGCATCAGACATGTAATTACCTGGTTGATATCAGCTCCAATCCTTGCACCTTCTTTTGTCACATCAAAAATTGACTGACCTCTACTTGTTGACACAAGCAATACCAAGACAAAGTTTGCCACTATGAATTTCACCATGTTTTCCATCATAATTCTTTTATTCTACTACACTCTTATTGCTGAACAGGAAAATGTTTATTGTATAATGAAATGTTATTTCTCTATGAGCCATTTTATAGTGCAATGAAGAAGCTCATGCCATTAATCTCTAACAAAATATTTAGCTAATTTTTGTATTTGTAGTATGTTGTAACGTAATCCTTATATTGTTTTCTACTTTTAGTTTAACTTTGTTTCATTTTTTTCATTCAAGACCAATTAATAGGGCATGAAAGTTGATAAACTAAAGTGATCAATGTGAGGATTAATGAGTTGATGATTGATGTTTAGTTTGATAATAACATGTCTAGTGGGAACAAACACTTTTACATTCAAAATTGTTGAAAAAAGATTCCCACAACTCACACAAAATTAAAGCAAACAACTAAAAGTAAAGCAAACCAAACACAAGAATTTTAAAGTGGTTTGACCCAATCAATTTAATCTACATCCATTATTCACTCAAATAATCCACTAAGCAAAAGCTTACGTGCAATTTTTAGAGCAGAAAAATTGCAAACTCCTTACACTATCCCAAAAAGCCCAATTACACCCTTAATAATAGTTCACAAATTTTTTTTTTTTTTTTTTTTTTTTTTTAAGATACTTTAAAAGCCTAACTACTAGTCTATTTAAAGGGGAGAGTCCCATTAGAACTCTCATTCCCGAGCAATATGGGATTCAAGGCACTATCCCAACAATTCCTCCCTTGACTTGAATCCCCAAACATCACAATAGCATCTAAAAATCTTACTCGGTTGGTAGTCTTCTTTTCTTTCACAACAAGAACTAGAACAACTTTGTCTCTTGATTTCTTAAGACACATACCTTCATCAAGCAAATATAGTTGTTTTTCATTCCTTTTGTCTTGCAGTATCAGAACATCATCTTTATACACTTCGCATCCATCTCTTTGACCAACGTAGGTATATCCAGGAGAAGCCAACTCACCTAAAGAAATAAAATTGTGACTACAACTTGGTACATACTTCCCATGACGAAGATTCTTGACAACACCATTATGAAGCTTGAGACGAATGCTACCAACGCCTTCAATCTTCACTTTCTGGTTACTATCGACAACAATATTTCCATAATTTCCATCTTTTTTCAATTCAACAAAATAAAAATAGTATTTATCATTACAAACATGCATAGATGGAACAGAATCTAAAACCCAACATTTTTCACCCTTTGAAATTTGAGTTTCATCTTAACATGTGACTAAAAATTCACCTTCATTATCAGCAACCCAAGCATCATCCTTCAAATCCTTCATCTATTGAGCCTTCTTGAAAGAAAGCATATCCTCCCTTAATTTCTTGCAGTGTGGTTGGATATGTCTCTTCTCTCCACAATAATACTCATTCCTGTAATCTCTGACTTTTAATTTATCACCTCTCTCTTTAGTCCTCCCCTAATTAGAACCTTCTGTAACTAGTATATCTCCTCTAAGTGATGAGTTCTCTAATCCCATAAACCTTTCATTCTCACGCAACAAGGCAATCACATCATCTAATTTTAAAGTAGATCTGCCTGCCAAAAAAGTTTGAACTAAAGGTCCATAATATTTAGGCAAAGATCACAACAATATCAATGCCTTTTCTTCATCATTTAACTCATCAGAAATAGCCAATAATTGAGATACTAGCCTATTAAATTCATTTAAATGATCATGGAGACTTGTACCTTCATCGATCTTCAGAGAGTACAAATCCATCTTCAAACACAGTTTGTTAGTTAACGATTTCGACGCATAAAGACCCTCCAATTTTTCCCACAAACCCTTTGGTGTAGACTCAGTGAGCACACTTTGCTTTTATCTCTGAAGCTAAAGCCAATCTAATTATACTAACAGCTCTCCTCTGAATTCTATTCCATTCTCTATCAGACATCTTTTATAGTTTACTCTCTTCTAATGCCTGATCAAGACCTTGTTGTATCAAAAGGTCTTGTATCGTACTTTGCCATAACATAAAATTAATTTTACTATCAAATAAAGGAACCTCAAACTTAGACATACCTTCAAAAAATTTGAGATGCTTGATAGTCACCGATCTACTCTTAAATCCGACCTCCTTTTCAGCTTGCCTTTTCCTTGGCTTCTCTCAGATCACGAACCATGGGCTCTGATACCACTTGTTGAAAAAAGATGCCCACAACTCAAACCCATAACTCACCCAAAATCAAAGCTAGCAACTAAAAGTAAAGGAAACCAAACACAAGAATTTTAAAATGGTTTGGCCCAATCAATTTAGCCTACATCCACTATACACTCAAAAAATCCACTAACAAAAAGCTTACAACTGTGCAATTTTTAGAAGAGAAAAATTGCAAACTCCTTGCACCATCCCAAAATGCTCAATTACACCCTTAATAACAACTCACAATGACTATTCTTTTTTGTGTCTATATTACACTTTTTGAGAAACTTTAAAAGCCCAATCTACTAGTCTATTTAAAGGGGAGAGTCCTCTTGCAACTCTCATTCAGAAGCAATATGAGATTCACGGCACTATCCTAACAAAAATAATGATTATTATAAGTTTAGTTAGCAACTGTTTTTTCTGTTTCTCAACAAGGAATAGGTCAATTAATTAACGAATAATTAAATTCTTAACAAGAAATAATAAGAGATAGAATGATAAGAGAAACAAATGAGAAACGTTGTAGCATAAATGTGTTTTAGAATCTCTACACATAAATATTAATTATTCTCTTGGAACAAAAACTTAACATGATTTACTTAGCATCAACAAATTTGAGATCAATTAAGGCCGTTTTAGATAAATGGAAATTTTTCTGCTCATTAGGAGATAACTTTCAATGACGTTGTAGATTAATGTAGAGATCAAAGGTGACATTAAAAAGGATTAAAAAATAGTACTCTAAGCAAGGCTATAGCTAGAATTTATATGGCTTATACAACTAGCAGCAAATTGAGGGTGATCATAATCACTTAGATATGAATTATACATTAGGATTGATGAACAAGTTATTAAATTAAGACTTGGTGTATGTCAGCAGATAAAGAAATTAAAGCATAAGATTTCTTATAAAAACAAATAAGAATGAACAAACTACCCCTAAGTAGCTTGACAGTTCGCTTGGGACTCTTGGATGTATTACTCAAGAGGTCCCGAGTTCGAATCCTCATGACTACTAATAAGGGGTAGCTATTGAGATTGTGGAGCCAAATTCAATCCAAATTAGAGTTGGATTAGGACATGGGTTTTCCTAATATGTGTTCATGTAGAATTGTTTTCCTTTAAGAATACAATTAGGAATAGGATTATAATTGTAGTAGGAATTAAAATAAAATTCCTATTAGGAATGATGTCCCATGCATTACCTATAAAAAGAGGTTAAGTCCTAGAGTTAGACATCACAAAAGGAATAGAAGGCAAAGCCACAATTAGAGAGTGAGAGCGATCAAATAAGGTTTAGTGAGTGAGCCAATTTGTGAGGCTTGTGATAGATTCGTGTAATTTCTTTTCTTCTTCTTTATAGTGAAATTCCACAGTGGCAAAGTGGATGTAGCTTTCATACGGAGAGTGAACCACTATAAATCTTGTGTTTGTCTGTGTGGTTATTTGTTTGTCCTTTGTTCACATTATTTTCGCTTTCAGGGATTTAGGATTTAATAGTATTCAATTAAATCCCCCAAACAACTGGTATTAGAGCAAGGTTTGAGGAAGAAAGTAATGGTTGGAGAAGGAGGATCTGCACCTAGGATCAACAAGTTTGATGGAACAAATTATGCGTTTTGGAAGATGCAGATTGAAGATATGGTAGAAAATTACATCTACCTCTCTTAGGAGCAAAACCCAAAAAGTTGTCAGATGAAGATTGGGCACTCCTTGATAGATAAGTATTTGGAGTTATTTGATTGACATTGACTAAAAACGTGAAAAGTAACGTGGTGAAGGAGACAACCACAACAAGGTTGATGAAAATCTTGTCTGATATGTATGAGAAGCCTTCTGGGAATAACAAGGTACATCTTATGAAAAAATTATTTAATCTTAAGATGAGAGAAGGTGTTTTCGTGACAGAGCATATGAATGATTTTAATACAATTATTAATCAACTGTCACCTGTAACAATTGATTGTGATGAAAAAGTTTGTGCCCTAATTCTTATGGCCTCCCTACCAAATAATTGGGAGCCTATGAGAGCAGCAATTAGTAATTGAACAAGTAGTGTGAAATTAAAACTCGTTGATGTCAAAGATAAAATTCTTGTTGAGGAGGTTCGCAAGAAAGATTTAGGTGAGATAACATTGAATGCTTTGAATGTTGAAACAAAAGACATGGGTTACAATAGGAATTCAAACCGAGATAGAGGAAGATCAAAATCAAGGAAGGGAAGAAGCAAGTCTGGGTTTGGGAAAAAAAATAGTGTTGGAATTGTGGCAATAAAGGACACATACAAAGGAATTGTAAAGCACCAAAGAAAGAGGAGAATAACAATAACGATGCTGCCAATGCTGTAACCAAGGAGGTGCAAGATGCTTTAATTTTATCCCTTGATAGTTCTATCGACTCTTGGGTTTTAGATTCAGGAACCTCATTCCATGCCACTATACACCATGAAATTATAGAAAATTATGTGACTGGAAATCATGGATAGGTATACCTAGCAGATGGAGAACCTTTGGATATTGTAGGTATAGGTGATGATAGGTTGAAGATGGCAAGCGGATTTATGTGGAAAATCCAGAAAGTAAGGCATGTACCAAAATTGATGCGCAATCTAATATCAGTTGGGCAACTTGACGATGAAGGGCATAGTGTGTCTTTTCTAGCTGGTGTACGGAAAGTTGCTAAAGGAGCTATGGTGGTTGCTCATGGAAAAAAAACTGGAACTCTTTAAATGACTTCTAGTTGTAGAGATTCAGTTGCAGTCGTAGATGCTAGTATTACCTCGAGTTTGTGGCATTGTAGACTTGGGCATATGAGCGTGAAAGGAATGAAGGAGCTTTAATCAAAGGGAAAACTACCATAGGTGAAGTTGATTGATCACAGTTTGTGTGAATGTTGCATCTTTAGCAAACAGAGAAGAGTAAGTTTTTCCAAAGTAGCAAGGTAACAAAAGGCAAAGAAGTTGGAGTTGGTTCATAAAGACGTGTGGGGACTGATGTGTTGTTACTACAACATGCAAATATAACAAGTGCACTAGTCACACAAAGTGATAAAGTGATGAGTGAGTATCGTTCCCACGAGGATTGGTTGCTAAGCACTGAGTTTCCTATTAGTTTTCAAGTTGGAGAAACCAAATATTATTTGGATTTATGGGAGAATATAAAACTAAACTGAAAGCAAAATTTACTAAGTGTAAAAACAACTAAATTATGAAAGCAAGATTTAACACAAGAGTAATATCAATTAAAACAAACGGTTAGGGTTTGACTTCATTCGGACTCTATGGATTAATTCTGTGGATTATGCTACTTTTACACTCACATGCACGGATTGTAAACCAAATTCCCTAAGTTGTAAAAGATACATTCTCAGGCTATGAATTCCTAAATGAGCGTGCAAGAAGCAGGAGATTGCATGCTGGACTACCATAGACATTTTGGCCTGACACAATTAATAATACAGCCTACTTGCTCAACAGAGGACCCTCTGTACTGCTAAATTACAAGATCTCAGAAGAAGTTTGGAGTGGCAAATTAAAGAGGTAAATTATTCTTTCTTAAGAGTGTTTGGTTGTTCATCATATATTCACATTGACTCTACTTTTAGAAGTAAGCTTGATGCTAAATCTAACAAATTTTTTTTGATTGGTTATGGTAACACCGAGTTTGGTTGTCGTATCTTGGATGGCCAAAACCACAAGATTATAAGGAGCAAAGACTTCATATTTAATGAAGAAGTGATGTACAAGGATAGCCTTAAAATGAACTTAGAAAATCCAAACTCTGAAGTGAAGAAGCAAGAGGTAGTTCCTTTGAAAGACTTCCCAAAGAATGACATGCAAGACAATAACCAAGAAGATCAAGATAATATAGCTCCAAAAGTTGAACCACAAATGCCTGTGTTTGAACCTAGAAGATCTTCCAGGACTATAAGACCACCATTAATGTACTCTTCTTCGTTAAACTAAATTTTACTAACTGATGGTGGTGAACTAGAGTGTTACGAGGAAGTAATGCAAGTTGATGACTCAATCAATTGGGAGCTAGCTATGAAGGATGAGATGGACTCATTATTAACAAATCAAACCTAGCAGTTGACAGAGCTACTATAGGGGAATAAGGCATTGCAAAACAAGTGGGTTTATCGGGTGAAAGATGAACATGATGGCAGCAAAAAATATAAAGCAAGACTAGCCGTGAAAGAAAGGATTTCAGCAGAAAGAAGGCATTGACTACACTGAAATTTTCTCTCCAGTTGTCAAGTTGACTACAATAAGAAAAGTACTTGGGTTAGTGGCAAAAGAAGACCTTCATCTTGAGCAGTTATATGTAAAGACGACATTTCTTCATGGAGAACTGAATGAAGAAATTTATATGCTACAACCACAGGGCTTTAAAGTACAAGGAAATGAGAGAATGGTGTGCAAACTTCAAAAGAGCCTATATGGGCTAAAACAGGCGCCTAGACAGTGGTATAAGAAGTTTGATGGGTTTATATGTAGTAATGGTTTCCTAAGATGCAAAGCAGACCATTGTTGTTATTTCAAGAAACATGGTAACTCCTCTATCATTTAATTACTATATGTAGATGACATGTTGATTGTAGGGGCTTGTAAACAGGAAATAGACAAACTAAAAAGGTAATTGTCAAAGGAGTTTGCTATGAAAGATTTGGGAGTTGCAAAAAAAATCCTTGGTATGAGGATTACTAGAGAAAGAGCCAAAGGTTTCTTGAAGTTGTCACAAGAATAGAATGTGAAGAAAGTACTTAACAGGTTCAACATGGATGGAGCAAAGGCAGTAAGTACTCATTTGGCTAGTCACTTTAAACTATCCAAAGATTAGTCACCTAAAACAGACCATGAGCCAGACTCAATGGCCAAGGTACCCTATGCATCAACGATTGGTAGTCTTATGCATGTCATGGTGTGTACAAGGCCAGACATAGCACATGTAGTGAGAGTTGTGACTAGGTACATGAACAATCCAGGGAAGCAACGTTGAGAGGCAGTAAAGTGGATTCTCAGATATTTGAAAGGTACTACAAATTTAGCATTATGCTTTAGGAAGTCAAAATTAGAGTTACAAGGTTATGTGGATGCTGATATGGCTGGTGACATTGATAACTACAAGGGTACCATAGGTTATGTCTTTACATTAGATGGTACAACGGTCAATTGGGTTTCAAAGTTACAAAAGATTGTTGCTCTTTCTACTATAAAGGCAGAGTATATTGCTATGACAGAAGCTAGTAAGGAGCTAATATCGTTACAACGATTTCTGGAAGAATTGGGTCAAAATTATGAGAGAAGTGCTTTATATTGTGATAGCCAAAGTGTAATTCACTTGGCAAAGAACCCAATCTACCATGCTAGGACAAAACACATAGAAGTTCGTTAACATTTGATACACTCAGTTTTGGAAGGAGTTATAGCTCTTGAGAAGATTCAGGGAGTAAAAATCTAGCTGATATGTTCACTAAGGTGGTTACCATTGAGAAACTGAAGTTGTGTACAACTTCAATTGGACTTCTTGCTTAAAGAAAGAGAAGTTGATGCTGCTACTGATGGAAGTGAAGAATTGAAGACATATGTTGAATTAGTCTCACGTGGGAGATTGTTGAGCCAAATTCAATCCAAATTAGAATTGGATTAGGACATGGGCTTTCCTAATATGTGTTTATGTATAAGTGTTTTCCTTTAAGAATACAATTAGGAATAGGATTATAATTGTATTAAGAATTAAAATAAAATTCCTATTAGGATATGAGATTTGATTCCTATTAGGAATAGTGTCTCATGTATTACCTACAAAAAGGGTTAAGTCCTAGAGTTAGACATCACAAAAAGAATAGAAGACAAAGTCACAATTAGAGAGTGAGAACCATCAAATAGGGTTTAATGAGTGAGCCAATTTGTGAGGCTTGTGAGAGATTCTTGTAATTTCTTTTCTTTTACTTTATAGTGAAATTTCGCAACGACAAAGTGGATGTAGCTCTCATACGGAGATTGAATCACTATAAATCTTGTGTTTGTGTGTGTGGTTATTTGTTTGTCTTTTGTTCGCATTCTTTTCACTTTGAGGGAGTTAGGATGTGCTAGTATTCAATTAAATTCTCCCAACAATAGTCATTGGAGGCTTACTTGATCGTTAACTTTAAAGCCTTAGGAGACTAGTTGAGGTCCACACAAGCTGGTCTAGATACCCCCGGATACCAAAAAATAAAAAATAAAAAATAAAAATAGAACGAATAGAATAGAACAACAAAGAGAAAATTTTCATATGTGAGCAACCAATATTGAAATCAATATCCAAAGGCCACTTTGTTTAGCTTGGGAGTCACTGCTCTTCATAATCAAAAGTCTTCAATAATTATTTATTTATTTATTTTTATTTTTTTGCAGAAACCTCAGCAGAATGAGGGAAATTTATTAAAAAAGAAGGGAGAAAATATAACACCTAGCTATTAAAAAAGAAGGGAGAAAATATAACACCTAGCTAGGGGGACATTAAGAGCCTTACCCCTCAAGGAAATCTCTATTACAAGGTTAACAATATTATAAAAGAATATCAAAACGTAATGTATAAAGATACAAAGCTGATGCAGAAAATCCTAAATCATTCCATCATTCCACGCTCTCTTTTCCCTTGAATTTCATCAACAGTTTCGAACTTGTATTTTAACAACACTACGCTATATATATATAAACAAACACAATTTTCCTATTTGAGAAGGGCCACACATCTCAAGCTCAACCAACTATTGCTGGATGTCATCGTTTTGCAAAGCATTAACAAGTTCTATTGTCAAAATTTAAGGTAAAAAATAATAAAAATCAAGCATTGAGGAAATTGTAAAAAAAATTATTCATAAATATCCCATCTCTTTCATAATCAAGTCTCAATTAGCTCCAGTATTATTTCAAGTAATCTTCCTGGCAGCACAGTGTCTTGCGCCTAATTTTTTTTTTTTTTTTCATCTCCTGAAAAACACAATAAAATTCCCAAATGTTTAGATGCAAAATGCAAGTTGTATACAACAAAAATTAGAATATTAGAAAAAGTTTCATTTTTGAAAGGTTAATTTTTTGAGATTTTGCATTAGGGACGGACTATGTGCACTCATAAAGTGGTTATGACATGTATTTTCTGAAGGCTAGACATAATCCCATGATTATTTAGTTCTTGAACTTTGCAGGTCAAAGACCAAATTTCTTAACTTCTTCTTTCATTTTGATTTTAATTCCATTTTATTAACTAAAGCTTCCCATCACATTTTCTTCCATGCCTTATTTACAATTTTCCTTTCCATTTTTTTTTAAGGAAATTAAACGAGCATATTACAGCCGGCTTACTCTGAAACACAAAAACATGATTAAAATTTGTTTTTTAAACCAGTAGATTGATGTTCATTAATAAGGAAAACACTATGAAAACAGAAATGATGTTTTAGAATTGATGAAAAAATATTTTCTAATTGTTAGTTGCAATTTGTTCAGTCAAATGACTAGAAGAAGCCTAGTAAAGGATTTCCAAAAGCAATTAACTTTCTAAGCCAAATCTTTAAATCCACCACAACGTAAATAAGGTTAAGAAGACAAATAAATATGGGGCTACGCATATTTATTTGTAATGAACATAATAAAATTAATTTAACTAATATGTAAATGATTGAATACATCATTTCATCGAGTCATGAATATACATGCATGAAAAGAGTTTATGCTGTGTGGAATAATACGATCCATAAATATTTGGAACAAAATTAAGCAGTGCTATCAAGATCCCTCAACCCCTGCATGCAGGCGGGTCCATTACACCAGAACTCTTGGGTCTGATGTTACTGCATTCAGATTTTGCTGGTCCTTTTCCAATGTATTTAAGTTGAATATCAGCAACCTCCACACCTTCACATGGTGTGCCACTACTACAAGCAAGTTTCATAGCAATAGGAGTAGCAGAAGTGCCCCGAATTTTCTTGAAGCTAATGTTACTAAGCTTAACACGTGATGGAACCTGAAGAAAAGGAAAGATACATCAAGAAATGACATGATTATTAATATCATGATCATTCCAATAAAAAAAGTTTGACATGTAACATGTATAACTGTATTGAGCTAGTACCTTTGTATTGCATTGATTCCATGGACAGTATACTTGATCTATGAGGATAGGATTGCTGACATTAATCATGTTAATGTCTTCAAAATGAATCATAGATGCAGAGTTAACAGTAGAAGCTGGCCAAGTTTTTATTCTAACACCGTTGTCAGTATTCGTTAAAGTGCAATTCTTGACAGTGACTCCAAACACTGGCTCTTCTTTCTCAAACTTTCCTAAGCTTCCTATACTGATACCATGACCAGGTCCGCATCTAACATTAGTGATTGATATATTTTTGCTACCATCACCAATGGAGACACAATCATCACCTGTTTTGATGAATGAATCTATTATGTTGATTCCACTAGATCTCCCAATATGGATTCCGTCAGTGTTGTGGCTATCAGCAGGGGCAATAATGTAAAAGCGTTGAAAAGTTAAGTTGTTGCAACCTAGGACATTAATATGAAATTGTTTGCTGTTCAAGGATCTTATATTCTGGACAAAACCATGGGTGATGAAGTCGAACCTTATATTCTGTTACATAATGAAAACAAATGTTGTTAGTGTCGTCATATATATCATACTAGCTTTTTAACTACTTAATTAGTTATGCATGCTAGATATGATTGAGTTATAAACTTACAATGGGAAGTTGTTTGCAAAAGTTTTCGCCACAAGTACCCCAAGCAGAGGCTCCTTGGCCATCGAAAGTTCCACCACCTGACAATGTGAAGTGTTGGATACGTTGGAAAGTAATCCAACTTCCATCCTTCGTCACTTTGCTATCAGTTAAGGCCTTAAGGGTGCCTTGAACTGCAACCTCAATAGCAGCCTTGCAGGGACCTTCAAAAGTCACAGGACTTAATAAGAATATCCCCTTTGGAATAAACACTTTGCTTGGAATAGTTGACGCACATGCTTTGTTCCACGATCTGGTTAAAGCCTTAGACAATTGCAAACACCATTTAAATAAGATGATTAATTATTATCCATACATATTTTGGATTGCATCAGACATGTAATTACCTGGTTGATATCAGCTCCAATCTTTGCACCTTCTTTTGTCACATCGAAAATTGACTGACCTCTACTTGTTGACACAAGCAATACCAAGACAAAGTTTGCCACTATGAATTTCACCATGTTTTCCATCATAATTCTTTTATTCTTGTCTTTTATTCTACTACACTCTTATTGATGAACAGGAAAATGTTAATTATATAATGAAATGTTATTTCTCTATGAGCCATTTTATAGTTCAATGAAGAAGCTCATGCCATTAATCTCTAACAAAATATTTTAGCTAATTTTTGTATTTGTAGTATGTTGTAACGTAATCCTCATATTGTTCTCTACTTTTAGTTTAACTTCGTTTAATTTTTATGAAAGTTGATGAACTAATGTGACTTATGAGAGGATCAATGAGTTGATGATTGATGGTTAGTTTGTTAATAACAATATTGTCTAGTTGAAACAAACACTTTTTAATTCAAATTCATGATTATTATAAGTTTAGTTAGCTACTGTTTTTCCATTTCTCAACAAGGAATAGGTCAATTAATGAACGAATAATTAAATTCTTAACAAGAAATAATAAGAGAAGAATGAAAAGATAAACAAGAGAGAAAAGTTGCAGCATATAAAGGATCAACGTGTTAGAATATCTTGAAAAGATCAATGTGTTGGAATCTCTACATAGAAATATTAATTATTCTCTTGGAAAAAGAACTTAACATGATTTACTTAGCATCAAGGAATTTGAGATCAATTAAGGCTGAAGAAATGTGTCACATACATTGGATTATCATAGATTCTCATAAAAACTTTAAAATAAATGTTGAACTACAAGGTGTTTTAGAATAATGGAATTTTTTCTTCTCATTATGAGATAACTTTCAATGACGTTGTAGATAAATGTGATATTTGTATTTTTCTTAACATATAGTTGTGTCTAAAACAGTGTTTTAAAAGTTGGCTCGGCCTAGCCAATTAACCTGTGACCCAAGGCCTTACCGAGCCAGTTACCAATTTTGACTGTTCATAGCAAAACCTAGAGATTAGGATAACGATCGGCAAACAATTGGTAGTTGAGATTTTGGTGTTTTTAAGAGGAAGAACTGGTGAGTTGAAAGGTGGAAACGGAGATGATTTTTGATGAGTGAAACGATCGAAAATTGTAAAAATCGATTGGTGACAACAACTTGCTGTTACCGACAATTGGCGAGGCGAACAGGGATGGGGTGTGATGGGTTTTGGTTAGGAGGTTGAGGGAAGAGTTTTCATGGTGAAGGGGTGTATTGTGGTCAGAAGCAGGCCTCATTTGGCCTGGCTTGTTGACACCAGAGATGTAATTTGGGGTATTTTGCAAGATTTCAAACTTGTAGAGACTTATGGTAATTTTTAGCGGTATTTTTGTTCAAACTTTGGACATGTTGACATCATCGGTTTGACTTGTTAGTCAAACCAGTTCAATTGATCAACCCAAGGCCCAACTACTTTGTGGGGTTTCTCAATGGGTCGAGTTTTAAAACCTTGGTTTAAAGATCAAAGGTGACATTAAAAAGGATTAAAAAATAGTACTCTAAGCAAGGCTATAGCTAGAATTTATATGGCTTATTTAATTTGCAACAAATTAAAGGTGATCATAATCGCTTAGATATGAATTATACATTAGGATTGACGAATAAATTTTTAAAGACTTGTTGTATGTCAGAAAATAAAGAAATTAAAGCATAAGATTTATTACAAAAACAAATAATACGAATAGAACAACAAAGAGTTAATTTTCATATATAACCAAGGAGTATTGAAATCAATATCCAAATGCAACTTTGTTTAGCTCAGGTGTCACTGCTCTCCATAATCAAAAGTCTTCAGTTTTTTTCTTTTTCTCTTTCTTTTTCTTTTCTTTCTTTATTTTTTTAGAAACCTCAACAAAATGAGGGAAATATATATATTTTTTTTTTCAAAAAGAGGGAGAAAATATAACACCTAGCTAGTTAGTGATGGTTGTCTTGCGACTCTACGGGCCAGCTTAACTTTTTTCTCTTTTTAATATTTTTTATTACATTTTAAATATTATTAACAAACAAAATTATTTTTTAAGTTAAGTTTGGGGTATACTTGTAATTAATTCCCCAAAAGCAACTTTTGAAATCTAAAAGTTGCAAAATGCTACTTTTGAAATTCTTTAATAAAATATATTATTGCATAATTCATTTCTCCTATAAATATAATCACTATTTAAATGTGCTTACCAAACACTTTTTGGATTATAGATTACGGAATAAGTGATTATAGGAGAAGCTACAACAACCCCAAACTCACCCGTAGTTTAACTGTCCCAAATATTTTGAAAACTTACAAACACATCTAATAATCTAACGGCGATTAGAGAAATATCTTATTTTATACTATTCATAAGAACGAAAATACCCTTGTACAACGTGCCAATTGTTTAAAATATTGATTTGTTGTAGTTGATATCTAAAGGAGCTATTTAAAAATGTAGAAAGAGATGTTGGGTTTAATATTTTTCTTTTTTCTTCTTTTTTTAAGTGTGAAAATATAAAGCGGAAAATTAGAATAATATTTAAATTTGTATTTCCATTCTTTAAAACTTCTTTATGAAATAATTTAATTCTTAAGTACGTTTTTATTCTAAAACAATTTAGTTCTTAACTTATTTACCAATTTCAAATAAAAATGAGTTAAAAAATGCTTTATTACATTCAAGTACCAAGTAAAGTAAACAAATCTCATATTTTGTTCTTTATTCTATTATATGATGTTTTTTGAAGTCAACGTTCTTTTTAAATTAAAAATATAGGTAAATTGACTGCATTAGCCTTCATAGACAAGTGTCCTGAGAACTTAATGGGAACTCTGCACTTTTCTAAGCTCTTTTTCATGAGCTCAGCTTCCTGGAAATGCACCTTCAGAAAATCAGTGACCTATGAAACTGACAAGCAATTATCTCTGTTTTGTCCTGACTTAGCTATATTTTAATTATAATAAATTATCAAATTAATTCTAAGTGAGAGAAAGTCTCAGCAGCATTTGCAAGTGGCAAGAATAATTAAATTGTAGGTGGAGCTTTCGTTTGTGAATTATATATTAATTTTTATATTTAAAAAGCCAGCGCATGTTGCTTGTTTGAAAGTTGTCCAAGGATTATTATATTTAGTATAATTAATTTCTTTTAACTTGGTGATGTGGAATTCTAATTAAATAAGAAAACTAAATCAAACAAAAGAGGAAATTAAACAAAATTTTGGTTTTAAATAATGTATCCGGCATCACACTATGTTTTTGGTCACTTTCAATTTGACCAAATTAACTAATTTTTACTTATTTATTTGATTATTAATATTTATATGCACAAAGTTGTTGGCTTTTTTGTTTTTACTCTTGGATTGTTCTAAATATGCATCTCGTGAGGTTTGGTCTTAACTGATAAACCCCCTACGTATCAGTATTAACTTAAAACCCCTTGCAGTTAGGTGAGTGTCAATATTTTTCTGTTAGTTGTAATAAGATGAGGGCAAAAGAGTGAATTGCTACTAAATTTTATAGTTAAGCAATAATTAATCAAATTATTATAAGAGCTTAAAAAAAGAAGATAAATCACTTTCACCTATCGCAAAACCCAAACCCACCAACAAACGCAAAACCTTTTGGCAACCCCACTCTATAGCCTCCTGCAACCTAGCTAGCGAACCCACAGTCGCTTGCACCCCTTTCGCCATCGTGTTTCCTCCCTTCCTCGTATCTTCCCAAATTACAATAATAGATACTGTTAGGGCCAAAAATCGTCATGGGCCCAAATAAGAAAACAGGACCACCGATAAGGAAGAGACCAGGCCCAATCCCAAAGAGGCTCAAGCCAAATTAGTCCCATTTGATACGAGATATGGCCTGCCCAAACCATCTGGGTACAGGCCTCCCAGTTCTAGCTCACCTCCTGGGCCAATAGGCGAGTTCAGAGCCCACGGCCCCCATTGATCACTTTCCTATTCCTGTTCAATCTTCTATTCAAAGTCACTTTCCTGTTCCTGATCACTTTCCTACTCAAAGTGACTTTCCTGTTCAGATCACCTTCCTATTTGGACACTGGTAAGACAACTCACCACCGCCCTAACTCCTCTAGGGTTGTATCAGAATCACACTAGGACTCCTACTTCTACCAGGATTGGGAGACCATACAATCACTATATAAGCAGAGGCCAGCCCTCTCACAAGGGACACTACATTACACCTTCACACCCAAAGCTTCTACTTGAGAGCTTTACATCACCGCCGTAGTCACAGTCTCCGACTAGACTTTCGGTAACCTCTCTATTCCCTAGCCCTCACTATACTAGCCTCTTTCAGCCTTGCTGACTTGAGCGTCGGAGTGCCTACGGCAAACACCACCCCGGTGTTTCTTGTTCGCTTCACACGTTTGTTTTTCTACGTGTGCAAATGCAGCGGATCGCTAGTGGCTTCACCCTCACGGGATCAGACCCTCCTTCCGTACAGGTAGATTTTTATGTCTACATTTTGGCGCCCACTGTGGGGCCTCTAGCAATCATTCGGCTTGACGAACCCTGCTGCATAGAGGAACTTTCCATGGCTGACAACTTCGATAATGCTAATCCCAGCCTCGAGGCCAAACTGGAAGCTCTAACCGCTCTCATGCAACAGAACTTGGACAAGGTGGCTACATTGGAAGCTGAGAACAATGCGATCCGGATGGAAAACGCATCCGTTAGGTCAGAAAACCAATCCCTCAAGGAGAAGGTAAGTAAATTCTATGACCTAGAGTTCCTGCCCGGCCAAGCACCCCTCAATCGGTTCCGCACCCCTGTTCCTCCCATGCAACCTCTCCTTACGCCGGAGCCTTGACCCTCGGCCTCTGGCAAAAGGCCGCGTCCCTTAAACCTGTCTACGGTCGACAATTCTGTCCTAATTCATGGAGATAAAGATATGCCTGTAGAACACCAATCAGCCGATTCATCCCAGCATCAAGACCAAGACGATCCAGTGGTAGAAAGCCTTCATCCACAAGACCAGCTCAATCTAACCATCCTAACACATACTCCACTCGGCTCGACTCGACTCATCCTCGTGGGATGAACGGCCAAACTAAACCAACAAAACCCGAGCCCATCCATCCTGACCAACCGAATGACTATCAAAGGACTCCCCTAACCATCCATGTAGGGCGAAACGCCAGAACAGTTACCATGTGAGTCATCCAATCGGAAGGAATGACCGAAGATCTATGCTATCAGGGAACGCACGAAGGGACTCGTCAGATTACCCCAAGAGGGGTGACCTAACGGAATGTACCAAAAACAAACGCAAAGGCCGACTCGGTCATGCGGGATGACCTAGTGGCATCCCCTTCTCCTATGGAACAGGTACTAGCCAAGAGATTGGCCGATGTGGAAGCAGTGATGCGACGCATTCCAGGAATGTAGGTCCTAACCAAGAAGAGCAGGCCTCATTGTTACACAGATTCACCCTTTGTGGATGAGATCGCCCTAGTCGACATGCCTCAGAAGTTCACTATCCCCAACATGAAAATGTACGACGGCACAACCGATCCGGACGATCGTATAGCCTAGTACAAGTAGCAGATGTTCACAGTCTCAATACCCTGACCGCTTAGGGAAGCCTGCATGTGCAAAAGTTTCGGTTCGAGCTTATCCAGCCCCGCACTACAGTGGTACACGAACCTCCCAAACGGATCCATCGATTCGTTCGCTCAACTCATCGACACGTTTGTGGAAAAATTCGCCAGCAGTAAGAAACTCGAGAAGCTGTCAGCCGACTTGTATAGAGTATACTAGAGAAGGGACGAGCCATTGAGAGAGTATGTCAGCAGGTTTAACAAAGAGAAGATTTCCATCCCTGCATGCAACCCTGAGACAGCCGTAGATGCCTTCAGGAAGGGTCTCCTCCCAGACGGAGAGCTGTACAAAGAACTTACAAAGCTAGGATGCACAACAATGGAAGACACCCTAGCCCGGGCAGTGATCCAAATAAGGTGGGAGGAGGATGAGATAAACCGAACGATTCACTCTAGATACGATTCAAGGCAGAATGACAGGAAACCAGAGCACAGGCCAGCGGAACACCGCTACCAACCCCCAGCATGTAATTCGAGCAGAGTCAGGAAATCGTATGATCGTCAACCAACAAGAACCGAGAGCAGACAGTTTGGATCAAACCGATACAAAATACCGGAATACAACCTTAATGTCGAGCCAACCCAGGTGGTCATGATTATGAAAGGAATGAGATCCACCGTTAAGTGGCTAGGCAAGCTCAATCTCGAGGCGAGGAGGGACAAGACCAAATGGTGTGAGTTTCACAGCGATCACGGGCACAACACCGCAGACTGCATCGCTCTACGACCAGAGGTCGCTGCACTTCTAAAGAGGAGACACCTCTGGGATCTGCTAATTGATAAGGGGAAGAACACCATCAACCATAAGAGTTCAAAAGAACCATCACCACCACCACGAGAACCTACACCGAAAGGTTTCTGTTCTCTCATCTCCGGAGGATCAGAGATCAGTGGGGTAAGTTACTCATCAGCGAAGCGATATGCTAGAGCCAACCACCACCATGAAGTCCCAGTCCATCCATCCGGCCTCACGATCGCACACTCATCAGGTAATTCAATTTGAAGATGACGAGCCGGTCACCCTGGCCGCTCCTCATCACGATGCCCTAGTCATCTCCCTGCAGGTCACCAATATCCTAGTGAAAAGGGTATTCGTAGACGGAGGCTCATCAGCAAACATCTTATTCCTCGAAACAGTGAAGGCTATGGGACTGGAAGAGGCAAACATCAATAGGCGACCGACGCTGCTAATTGGTTTCAGCTCTAAGCAGAAGTACACTATCGGCGAAATCATCCTCCATATCTACATCAGAGGAGTGAACAAACAGACCATCTTTCTGGTAATCGACTACCCCTCGCCATACAACATCATCTTGGGTCGACCTTGGATCCACGACATGCGGGCAGTCCCATCTACCTTCCACCAGATGATCGGATTTTCAACCAAATGGGGGGTACGAGAGATCAAGGGTGAACCCAAAACTTCTAGGGATTGCTACAAGAATACCTTCAAAGGCAAGGGTAAGTCTTCGTAGCAATTACAGATTCATCCAACCCCACCGACCGAGCCAGATCAACCATCTATAGAAGAGTTGGATGAAGTATAGATACATCTGGACGATCCCGACAAAAAGACACATATAAGGTCCCGCCTCAAGCTCAAGACCAAAGAAAAGCTGATAGAGTTCCTCAAACAGAACCAAGATTGTTTCGCCTGGTCGCACGCCGACATGACCGGAATCAGTCCGAAAGCAATGGTCCACCAGCTCAAGGTAGACCTAGATCACCCACCAGTGAAACAGAAGAGAAGAAAATTCGCACCAGAGCGTAACTGAATTGTCAACGAAGAGGTCGAGAAGCTACTGAGCAATGGTATAATCAAAGAAATCCACTACCCTGAATGGCTAGCGAATGTCGTGGTTGTAAAGAAAAAGAACATGAAATGGAGAGTGTGCATCGACTTTACGGACTTGAACAAAGCCTGTCTCAAAGATTCCTTCTCGCTCCCTCATATCGATATGATGGTCGATGCAACCGTAGGTTACGAGCTCCTTAGTTTCATGGACGCTTTCTCAAGGTACAACTAGATTTTGATGCACCTGGATGACCAAAAGAAGACAGCCTTTATCACGGAGAGGGGAACCTATTGCTATAAGATGATGCCATTCGGCCTGAAGAACGCCAGAGCCACCTACCAGTGGCTAGTCAACAAAATGTTCGCCGAATACCTAGGGGACACCATGGAGGTATACATTGACGACATGCTCGTCAAGTCATTGATAGTCGAACAGCACCTCGACCACCTCAGCCAGGCATTTTCCGTCCTCAGGAAGTACAACATGAAGCTAAATCCAGCCAAGTGCTATTCGGGGTCTCGTCAAGAAAGTTCTTGGGCTACATGGTGACTCAGAGAGGGATAGAAGCCAATCTCGACCAAATTAGAGCAATCCTTGATATACCGTCTCCAACTTGCGTGAAAGACATCCAGTGCCTTGCAGGACGCGTGGCCGCCTTGAGCCGCTTCATCTCTAGGTTGGGAGACAAGTGCCATCTCTTCTTCTATGCCCTCAAGAAGTCCAAGAAGTTCGAGTGGACCGCCCCTTGAGAAGAAGCCTTGCAACAGCTAAAAAGGTACCTTACCTCCCCTTCGCTCCTATCCAAACCTGTGGATGGGGAGAAGCTCTACTCTTACCTAGCGGTCTCAAGGACAGCTATCTCAACAGTACTAGTTCGAGAAGAAGAAACGAAGCAGTTGCTAGTTTGCTATGTGAGTAAGTCGCTCCTTGATGCGGAAATGCGATACAGTCAGCTAGAAAAATTAGCCCTTTACCTTGTCCATGCATCCAGGAAGCTCAGGCTGTACTTTCAGTGCCACTCAATTATTGTACTCACCTCCTTCCCACTCAAGAAGATACTGCACAAACCAGAACTATCAGGCTGACTCCTATAGTGGACAGTAGAGCTCAGTGAGTTTGACATATCGTACCAGCCTCGCACCGCCGTCAAATCCCAGGCCTTGGCCGATTTCATTGCTGACTTCACCTCGAATACCACCACCCAAGCAGAAAGTGAGTTATTATGCATGAACGGCGAATCACCCTCCAAGTGGACCCTTTTAGTGGACAACTCGAGTAACGTAAATGGAAGCGGACTTGGAGTAGTACTGATTACGCTCGAAGGAGACATCATCCACCGGGCAATATAGTGTGGGTTTCAAGTGCATGAACAACGAAGCCGAATATGAGGCCCTCATAGCTGGACTCTCCTTAGCTAAAGAAATTGGAGTAAAGAAACTAGAGGTAAAGTCTGATTCCTAGCTCGTGGTCAATCAACTGCAAGGCACATATCAAACACGCGACTCGAAGATGACATCCTACTTGAGCATGGTCAAGGAGATGCAAGCCCAATTCGATGAGTTCTCCATCGTCCAAATCCCCAAAGCGGAGAACTCCAACACTGATGCTCTTGCCAGTCTCGGCTCAGCCCTCAAATGCTCTTCCTAGTCATCCATCCCTCTATTATTCATGCAGTGGCCTGCCAATTGGGAGGGACAACAACCAAACAAGCCGCCGGAGAACGCCATGGGAGTTGAACTAGCCGACTGCAAGATAACTCCGATAGTGAGATATTTGGAGCACAACAAACTACCATACATCAAGGCCAACTCCTTAGAAAATCATTCTCGGGCCCCTACCTCAAGTGCGCAAGCCTAGAGGAGGCCCATCGTGTCCTTGCCGAGTTACATGAAGGTGAATGTGGAAACCATGTTGGGGGACGCAGCCTTGCACACCGAGTAATTACTACTGGATATTACTGACTGACAATGCGCGCCGATTCGGTCGCCTATGTGAAGAAGTGTGACAATTGTCAGGGGTTTGCTCATGTCTCACACCTCCCACCAGAGCGACTTCACTCCATCCTCACCCCCTGGCCTTTTATGAAGTGGGGAATGGACATCGTGGGAAAACTACCGACTGCACCTGGACAGCGAGTCTTCATGTTAGCTGTGACAGACTATTTTACCAAATGGATTGAAGCCAAAGCCTTCGCACAAGTCAGAGACCGAGAGGTAAAAGCCTTCATTTGGAAGAATGTCATCTACAGGTTCGGCATACCAAAGGAAATTGTCACCGACAATGGATCCCAATTCATTAGTTCAGGCCTCAGGGATTTTTGTGACATGTGGGGAATAAAATTGAGCTTTTCGACCCTCCGCAACCCCCAGTCTAACGGCCAGGCCGAGTCGTCAAACAAGACCATCATTCAGACACTAAAGAAGCGGTTACAGAAAGCCAAGGGTGCATGGGCAGATGAGCTACCCAGAGTCATCTGGTTATACTGAACAACAGCTCGCTCGTCAACGAGCGAGACCCCCTTCTCCCTCACATATGGTTCTGAAGCAGTCATCCCAACCGAAGTATCAGTCCCATCCACCAGACTCCAATGGGCGGACAAGGAATCAAATGACCAGAACCTTTGCCAGAACCTGGACACCATCGACAAGCTATACGAACGGGCGAGCATCCGTAACACAGTCTATCATTAATAGGCCACCTGACATTACAACCGCAACGTGAGGATCCAGACTTTCAAGATAGGCGGCTGGGTCCTCCGCAAAGTCTTCCAAAACACCAAGGAGATCAACTTTGGCAAACTCGGCCCCACCTGGGAAGGCCCCTACAAGATAACCACAGAAGTAGGGAAGGGTGCTTACAAACTCTAGACCCCCAAAGGCAAAGACATCAGTAATAGTTGGAATGCCGTTCACCTCAAACGCTACTACCTCTAAGTGAGCTTATCTTTTTTCTGTTTTTCCCTTTTGTTATTTTAAAAGGGATGAGTGGGCCTATCCACCTCCTCTTAGACAGTCGGCCTCATGGCCAAACATTAATGAAGTATTATTCGAAAATCTTTCATCTCCAAATCGACTATGGTCAATCAATTATTGTTAAACACCATCAGATCGTCCATGCCCGACCCACGAAAATGCACCTTCGAATCGGCTGAAGTCGATCAATTATTTTTAACACCTTTAGATCGGCCATGCCCGGTCCACGAAATTGCATCTCCAAAATCAGCTCCTGTTGATCGATTGTTGTTTACACCATCAAATCGGCCCTATCCAATCCATGATTTCGCACCTTCGAATCAACTAAGCTCGGTCGGTTTACGAATACACCTTCGAATCGACCCAGCTCAGCTTAACACCTTAGAATCGACCCCATTCAGTTCACGAAAACACCTTCAGATTGATCCTGCTTGATCCACGGAATCGCACCTTCGGGTCGACCCTATTCGATCCACGGAATCGCACCTTCGGATCGACCCTGCTCGATCCATGGAATTACATCTTTGGATTGACCCTACTCAATCCATTGAATCACCCCCTCGGATCGACCTTACTCGATCCACGTTATCACACCATCGGATCGGCCCAATCCACGAAGAAACACCGTCAAACTAAATCAGCCCGACCTAAAACTCGCACCTTCAAGTCAGACCAAACCGACCCAAGAGCTCGTACCTCCGGGTTGACCTCACTCAATCCAAGAGACTTTGTACTCGATCGGCTAGATCGAATGAATGGTCTTTACACCAGCAATACGTAAAGAACCAAACTAGCCCAACATAAGGCTTACATGCCTTAGCCGCTGGGCCACTCTAAAGTAACATACACGACATAGTGCACCTACAAGTAAAGAAACAACAAACAGTTCGCTCATCCACGAAGACAGTACCAAAAGTCAAAATAGTCAAATATATTATATATGGCATCAAACAGCCCAATTCAGAATACAAAAAGTGACACACACGCCAAGCAAAAGGGCATCGCAAGCCCCAAAGTATATAAACAAAGAAAAACGCTAAGCATCCTCAGCATGAGCCTCATCCTCCATTGACGAATCGGTCGCCATGTCCGCACCGCCAGCGCTCAACCCAGCAGTCTAGTCGCTCGCATCCCCAACACCCGGCGGCCCCGGCTGGCTAATGTCAGGCATCTGCTGCTCGTCCTGCCCCCTAGATGACTATCTCCTTCTTCCAGCAACTCCTGCATGAGATGGATATCTTCATCCAGATCCCAATGAAAGGTCCGTCCTTCCTTGAACTCTAGCATGAGCTCACCTCGGGCCTTAATGATAGCATCATCAGCAATGGAGATGCACTGCTCCCTGAGAGACTCGACTTATATGGTTCTCTGGGCCAACTCACGCCTCAATCTCCCGACCTCACGCTCACTATCCCTGAGGCGCTGCTGACTCTCCTGCTCAGCCTTCCGGGATGCTGCCTCCCTCTGGCGCAAGCTAGTATTGGCCTTGGATACATCCTGTATCCGTTTCTCCTGCGCAACAATAGACTTCCTCAGATGAAGACTACTAGTGAGTACTTGCACAACAAAACATTACCATCAGAACAAAATTAAAAAACAAGAACACCGAATGATACTGTCATACCTGAACGGCGCGGGATACCCCCCAATCAGCGACAGCAACTGCACCCATCTGATTCAGACGCGCCTCGTCTGCCAAGAATAAGAAAGAGTCGGCTAGCTTGCTCATAGAAATCGCATCGGAATAAGTCGATACAGTAGCCGAAATCGTGAATGTAATCATCCCGGCCTCTTCATCCACAACTGCAGCATGGGACGACCCAGCCTTGGTTACAGGCTGTTGACTCGGCAGCTGCTGACTCGACGGGCTTCGCTAGCACATCATCTGCTCTCTTGTTCTCCCTGGCTGAAGATTCCCTCCTCCTCTTCTCGTAGCGTCGGGTGATAGATTCACTCGCACTCGGGACGGTCAGCTTCTTCATCAGTGACTCTGCAAGTACAAACTCTCCAAAGGTTAGTGGGTTCAGCCCGGACTCACCAAAAATGATATGGTTGCAGTATCGACTCAGAAGCATATCCCAAGTCTGCTTCAGCGAGGGGAAGGGAGTACCTCTTTGTATCGCCTCTCCTCCGGCCCAAAGAATGTTGGTCCTCAGGTTGGACTCTGCTAGCACTACTCGCTAATCCCTCTACTCTAATGGGATGGCTAACACTCTCTAGGTCGCTACGTCCAAGCCGTCCCCGCTCTGCTTAGCTCGATTGAACTCAAGCTCTGCAAACAAAAAACACAATCAAGATTTAGTAATCAAAAGTACGAAAGAAACAACTAAGTTCTCACCAGTAGCTCGCCAGCCGATCGGGATCTCGCCCTAGCCTCTCTTTCTAAAAACAGCTTGACCCCTCAGGTAGAAATATTGGTCCTTCCAGTTCTTATCACTAGACCGTAGGTCGGTCACCAAGTGAGACCGATCATGCCTCAAGTTTAACAAGTAACGACCATTTTCTTTATCATTCTCTTTCAAGAAGTACGAGTACAGTAGCTTGTGCAACCCGAACCTCATTTGGTTCTGAACACAGAGGTCTTCCAAAGCCATTAGCAATCTCCAAGTATTCGGCATAAGCTGAGACGGGACAATCATGAAGTGGTTGAGTACTTCCCACATGAGGCGAGGGACGGGTAGCCTCAACCCATTGTGAAACCACTTCTCGTAAACACTGATCTAGTCCTTTACCTCCCAGTCAACCCGCTCATATGACCACGACATCCGGACATCGACCAAACTCAGAATGTCATACAAGTTCCGGATGCACCACACATCACTATCTTTCAGCACGGGCGGATAATCTCTAGTCAAAATCCCGCTGCCCTGTTGGCTCGCCTCTTCCTTAGAGCCACTACCAGAAGAGGATGGACTACCAACTCCTTCGTAGTCTTCCCCACTTCCCCTATGCCTACCCGAACCACTCGGGCTAGGAGTACTCGTACCTGGGGCAGCTACACTAACTCCAGTTGGCACCCCAATCGAGACGCCCTCTTCAGGCATCATCAATATGGTGGGGGCACGCTCATACTCATCCCCAGCATCCACCCCAATCTTACTTGAGCTTGATGATTCAGTGTCTGACATGACGGCTCAATCGCCCAGCCCGACCCACCGATTCCGTCCTAGCTTCAGAATTCCCAAAAAACTAACTGTCAAAGAACCACTCGCCTTGAGTGAGCGACCGACCAAAGGAAGATACTCCACACAACTGTCGCTCGCCCTTCAGCACCGTTTGACCTACCCGACAACTCGTTAACTCCTAAACATCAGTTGACCTTTGCTATCGACCGACTGGCCAGATTCAACCTTTGAAA